ACTGTTTAATGAGAGACTATTTGTTCTGTAAACCCTTACTTAAAGTAAGATAAAAAAAATATTAAAAAAAGATAAAAAAATAAATAAATATGGCTCTCTGTAAGCAATAGATGTGATATATGTTCTCCTAAAAGTTTTGTGTAATCAAATTATTGAAAATTGGCAAAAAAATTTAACTGCAACAGAGAATTTGCTATTTAATGGCATGATAGATATTTTCATAAAGAAGTATTTTAATAGATATATTTGTTGAAATGACCTGGCTTCCATATATCAAGACAGCAAAAGTTACTTAACTTGTCCATACCTCAGTTTCTTCTTCTGAAAAATGGGGACAATAATAGTCCTTAACCCATGACATTGCTGGGCAGGTAAGAACAGTGTCTGTCACACTGTTGTTAGGTGCCATTGAGTAGATAGATTTTCAACTCATAGTGACCCCAGGTGACAGAGTAGAACTTTCCCATAGGGTACTCTGGACTGTAATCTTTACCAAAAGGAACCCTGGTGTCACAGCGGTTTAAGCACTCAGCCACTAACCAAAAGGTTAGCAGTTTGAACCCGCCAACTGCTCTACAGGAGAAAGATGTGGCAGTCTGCTCCTGTAAAGATTACAGCCTTAGAACCTCGATGGGACAGTTCTATTCTGTCCTACAGGGTCACTATCAGTTAGAAGCTACTCAATGGCAATTTTTTTTGTTGTTGTTAATCTTTATGGGAGCAGATCACCAGGTCTTTTTTCTGCAGAGCAGATGGGTGGGTTCAAACCACCAACCTTTCAGTTATCAGCCGAGCACTTAACCATTTGTACCACCAGGGCTCCTTCTGCTATATAGACATCTGTTAGGAAAGAAAGAGAGAGAAAGAGAAAGGGGGGAGGAAGGAAAGCGAAGGAGACAGAGACAGAGAGAAAGGAAGGAGGGAGGGAGGGAGAGAGAGAGGAAGGAAGGAACGAAGGAAAGAAGGAGCAAGCCTGTAAAGTGCCTGAAAACGTCAAACTTATATTTTTAGGAAATTCTTGGTTGAGATATAGATCACTAAATTCTTAGGTTTTTTTTTCCCCCCTATAAATATAAAACATTTCATTTCTCATATATCTCACTGATACCAAACATTTGTTACTGGGTAATCCTGCACAAATACAGAGTAAGAAAAAAGAAATACAAGAACTCTCGAAGCAAAAATTTAAGTATTTTATGTAACATGAAAATCACCCAGTTCTTTGAAGCAAAAAGTTGTTAAAGTAAGGTAGAACACTCACCTGACATCTTTTTTTTTTTTAATTTAAAGCAAAATGGCATAAATCATTAGGAATAAAAAAGTAAGTCATGACAACAGCCATCATTTAAATACTATGACCCAAAGAGCCTTTATGCAACACCGTAAATAACATTATTGCAAAAGACTCAAATTGATATTCTCTATATAAAGATTTCACAGTGATACTCTGTATTGGTCCACCTTGGTTTTAAACAACTGCTGTATGAAGTATTGTCATTAAACAAATAAGGTAATCATAAAAATACATGTAGAAAAATATATGGAAAAGCAGACTAAAACATTTAACACTAACTACTTCTAAGGATGAAAGAAAGGCCTGGCAATCTACTTCTGATTATTAGCCAGTGAAAACCCTATGGATCACAATTGTCTGATGACATTGTGCGTGGGGTCACCGTAAGTCGGGGGAGGGTTCAATGGCAGCTAACAACAACGACAACTTCTAAGGATGCACAGGGTGATGCATTGGGGAATTTCTTTTTTCACATTTTTCTATTATGTTCTTTCCAAAAACATATATCATTTTATAGTATAAAACTTTCTAAAGTTTTAGTTATAGATGTTAGTAATGAATACTGACCTCTGGTCCCCTTATATTTTCCTTTCTTCAGAAATCCCAACAAAATGCAATGACAAAAGAGCTCCAGCTGTGCTTAAGTGGAGAATAACTGGCTTACTTTCCCAAGCAAAATTCACTATTTCAGATCAGTCATGGTAGATTAAGCCTGTACTTCACTTTGGGGCCCCTGAAGTTACTTTTGGGTCTTTAATCTCTAGGCAAACAAACATAGCACTGTAAAGATGCACCAGTGCTATTTCTCTGCCCAAAAGACCATTAAATTTACCCAGGGTTTATCAAGACAAAGGAAAAAATAAAAGAAAAGAAGTTAATTCCATTTGGACTGAGAACAGCATTGTCCCCACATGGAGATTCAACATTAGTAAATACCACTCACTCTCTTGTCAGCTTTGGAAACAGATTTAAGTTCCTCACTAGCTACCCCCAAAATTAGCCTGTCCATTCCTTTAAATGTTAATCCTCATAACATTTCTATTTAGGGGACCCCTCATTGCCGTGCTTGGCATATGGAACAACCTAAATCCAGGAAAGCAAGGAGGGAATGCATGACTATTGAATATATACCATGTCCAAGGGCTGTGCCATGAATATTTTATGCATTATCTCCTTTAATCAAAAGCTGATATTATCCCCATTTTGTATATGAGAAAACTGAGGTTTGGAGCAGTTAAGACATCTGCCCGAGGTCCATAGCTAATGAGTGCTGCAGTCAAGCAATACAGCTCCAGCACCCTTACCACCACACCATGCAGCATTCACATTAAATCAGAGCCCTTGACTGAAATTATAGTCAGATCCTTCAATGATCAAACTTTGTGTGACTTTGCCTGACAACAGAAAAAAAGAATAACCCCTTACATCTGTCCAATAATTTATAAGTTTTCATAATCCTCATCTCAAGCAAGTCTCTGAGGCACAAAAAAATGGTATTAAAACACACATTAAAGAGACTTTAATTTTTATCTTCACCAGTCAACTACTGTTACTTGTCAATGGTAATTACGTTCCTTATTATGAAAATATTTTGAAAAAATAAGCTAGGAAATCAAATTAAAGATTCTATCATTTTCTTCTCTCCCTTTACACACTCACACCCCACTCTGGATTTGCAGGAAAACGGACAAAGAAAATATGGTGGCCCTCCACCTGATTGGGATGCTGCACCCCCAGAAAGGGGCTGTGAAATTTTTATTGGAAAACTTCCCCGAGATCTTTTTGAGGATGAACTTATACCATTATGTGAAAAGGTGAGTCCAAAATTTAATATAATTTTTCTTATCATTCAAGGGAAAAATACTACTCTGTCTTCACTTTGCTTGTATCTCATCCTCCTTAGTTATTGATAGGTTCTTTCCAATTGTCATTCTTCAGTCATGGACAACATTAAGACCTTTCTAGACATTTATGATTGTCCCCTTATTATTACTGCCTTTATTCAACTCTTTGTCCTGTTACTGACAGCTTCAACTGCCAACGCTAATGACTTTCAGATCTGTACCTCATTCTCCCATCTCTCTGCTAGCACAGCCATCCCACTGTAAACTCAACATGCTTACCAATCTAGAAAAACACTACAATCTCTCTAAATTCTGATATTGCTCCAACTTGACATTTTTATATGGTTTCATCAAAGTCAACACTGTCACATAAAAAGAATGTGTATGTTCATCATGGCTCAGATACGTGCCTAGATGCATTCTGATCCAGAATGAAATTTTCTTCTACAAATCTGGATTTCTCTTCTGCCTAAATGTCTCAACAAGATTGAGAATTTAGTTTCTCAAAGTCATTATATACTTACTAAGGAAGAAATTTCCTCAGTTTTAATTCCAAATGACATTTTATTACTAAACTCAAAATAAAAGGAAGAATACAATGTTAAAATTTATTCTTAATAATTTACCAAGTGGGTTTTAGAAACAACTACATGCCCCCTGGAAAATTTAGTAAAAGTAAGAAGTTATCTATTTTTCCCCCTTAAATACCAAATCAAGTGTGTGAGTACATGCATGTATGTGTGTATATCAGCCTCAGATTCAGAACTGCTCCCAATTTTATCTATACAATCCCACTTGGCCTATGGACAAATTATGAAGATTTAATCCTGTAAGAATCTTACTTACTGAACCTGAAGCACAGAGAAGAAACATGCTTGAACTCTTTCCCAATAAGTCCAGAAGAAATAGGTGTCCATCACTGAATACCTTAGGATAGGGTGAAATGGGGCTGAACCAAAGAGTAAACAACCATTAAGGTAATGGCATATGTTTAATGATACCTCTTCTCCCTGCACATGTCCCTGACATCTTTTTGGGCCACCCCTTCTTGTAGCAGTCAGCTACAATAAATTGGGCTGGGAGAAGGGAGTGGTATATGGTCCAGCAGAGCAGCAGTAGCCAGGGGGACAGAGTAAGTGCCTTCGTACAGTGGAGGGCCTGGGCTTGTTTCAGGTATGAAAACTAGTATTTATCTTCAAGCCTACAGATTGAGAAAATTAAGAGGCTCCCCAGTCATCTTCTGTAGCACATTTTCTATGCTTATTTTGATGTCATGTTGGGGAAAAAAACAGCTGAAAAGTTCATTTAGCAAGGTTCCAAAGGAGTGTTCATTATCTTGGTTTTAAACATCAGTGGTAGAGCATAACCAAGTAAGAATAAAAATTTGAGGACTGCAGAGACCTAAGTTTAGAGGGCAAGAAAAAAAATCTATCAAGAAATTATACTTCTGATGGTAAATGTGTTTTTCAGGTCCCTTAAACTTTGCATGAATCCCCAGATAATTGTATGACAAAAGGTTGTTTGTGCTGTCAAAAATCTATTCTGTTAACTCAGGCTGAAATGCCACTTGTATAAACTGTCTTTATTAAACTTGACTTTACCCATGAGTCAGGTAACTGACCTGAACCCAGCATGAAAATATGCAAATCATTCTATATGGGTTGCAAATGCTAAATACTGGTAGGAGGCAGACTTTAGAAAACTCTGTGTGTATGTGTGTGCGTGCACGTGTGTGCATGCACTCACACATATGTTTGCTTGAAAGTAAAACTGTGCAAATATGAATTTTCTCTTTTCTGTTACTTATAGATTGGTAAAATTTATGAAATGAGAATGATGATGGATTTTAATGGCAACAATAGAGGATATGCTTTTGTAACATTCTCAAATAAACAGGAAGCCAAGAATGCAATCAAGCAACTTAATAATTATGAAATTAGGTAAGATCCATCTCTTCTACATTAAAAGTGAATCAGATAATGCAAATGTATCTATTTTTCTGTCACGCTTATCTAATATAGTGCATGCAAAAGCAGCCAAGTCAGAAAGAAGATAGGCTAGTTTTTTTCCTTTGTAAAAATCAATTTAAATATTATTTAATATCAACAGTATATGAGGTGCCAAACTAAGTTCTGTGAACTGTTCAAGGAAACAAAATGTATTCATTTATCTATTTCATAATATGTGCTGAGTACTTTTCAAAATATAGCAATATATCAAGGTACCATTTATCCTCATAGTAAACAAATGAATAAAAAGATTATTTTCAAAAGTATGAAAAAATACAACGAGGATATGGAATGAAGTTGTGTGAGGAGGTGACTGCTCTAACTTGATGGAATTAAGAAAGTACTCTCTGGGGAACAGAAACTTGATCTCAGACTAGAGTGAAAAGAAAGAGTCGCCATGACAGTCACACTTGCGGGAAGGTTACTCTAGAAAAAGAAAACAGCAAGCGCAAAGGACTCAAAGAGAGAACAAGCTTGATGTGTTGGAGGGACACAAAGAAGGCCAATGCAGCTAGAACAGAGTGAACAGAGAGGAGGGTTGAAGGCAGTGAAGTTGCAGAGTCTTCTATGCCATGATAAAGAGCTCAGATTTTATACTAATAAAAGGGGAAATCATAAGAAGTTTTTAATTAGATTTATGCTTTATAAAACATTGCTATGGCCTCGGGGTGGAGAATGGACTACAGCAGGCTAAGAATTGAAAGATGGAAACCAGTTAGAAATAGTCTGGATCTAGACAAGGGATGATGGTGGTTGGAGTAGGGGGTTAGTGATAAAGGTGGTGGAAAGGGGTCAGATTTGGGGTATATTTTGGAGATTGAGTGGACAAGACTTGCTGAGTATTGGATGTGGAACAAGAGAGAAAGAAAAGATTCAGGGAAGACACCTAGAATTTTGGCCCAAATACCTGTGGATATAATATGTCATTAAGAGATGGAAAAGACTGGCAAATAGCAGAAAACACATGAAGAGCTCTGTATGGGGCATTTTACATTTGAGATTCATATTAGACATCTCATGGGAGATATTTCGGAAGTGGTTGTTTGTATAATTCTGTAGTTAGGAGAGAGGTCACGACTGGAATAAAAATATGTGAATCAGTCAGATATAGATAGTATTTAAAACCATGGCACTAGAGGAGGGTGCCAAGACATAAGTGACCCTGTGTAATCAATAGCCAATTTTTATAAATTGGAAATAGGGCTAGCTACATGAAATTTTCTGAGTTCTAAAACCTTCCTTGGAGAGGTAACGATCATAAATCAGGAAGCCCTGTGCCACCTGGGAGAAAGATTAGTGCAGCAGTTAAAAAGCAGTAGCTTTGGAGTCCCAGCAAGTAACTTAACCTCTCTGAGTCTCAGTTTCCTCCTCTGTAAAATGGGGATAATAATACCCACTACAAAGGTATTTATTGTGGAGACAGAATATTTTAAAATGCTTAACCCAGTGTTGGGAATGGTTGAGCTCTTATATATTAGCATATTACATCAATTCTAAGATGCATTTGTTTACATCCATTTCCTTTTCAGAAATAGAAACGCATTTTAAAATTGATGGTGTCCTAAAATTTGAGGGAGTAGATTTCCTGTCATTATTTTTTCTCCCACTTCCTACAGGCTCAAAATAAGCCAAAAATCATCCTCATAATTTTTTAAATCAATCAACTACTGGGTCATTATTCTTCAACCCCTTAGCCAAGGAAGATCAATTGAATTTGACAACTACTAGCGAGTGACCTAAGGGGTCCCTGGGTGGCTCAAACAGCTAAACGCTCAACTACTAGCTGAAAGGTTGGTGGTTTGAACCCACCCGGAGGTGTCTCAGAAGACAGTCCTGAAGACCTGCTTCCAAAAGGTCATACTTTGAAAACCCTATGGAGCAGTTCTACACTGCACATGCGGGGTGATCATGAATTGGAACCGACTCAGCAACAACTAACAACAGTGGCCTAGGCATTCATTCCCAAGGTAGATTCTGGAGCAGGGCAGACTCCTGGGGGAATGTAAAGAAAGCTCCTTGCTCACACATGCCTCTATGGGCCCAGAAGAGCTTTGTGTGGTATGTGGAGGATTTTTTTGGAGTGTGGAAACCCTGGCGACGTAGTGGTTAAGTGCTACGGCTGCTAACCATAAGGGTTGGCATTTCAAATCCACCAGGTGCTCCTTGGAAATCGTACCGGGCAGTTCTACTCTGTCCTGTAGGGTCGCTATGAGTTGGAATTGACTCGACGGCAACAAGTTTGGTTTTTTTGGTTTTTGGAAGACCTAAGATCTAGCCCAGGATCCTTTGAACTAACCTTTAACCTCTTTGAGCAGCACTTTTATCGTTAGCACCTCATCCAAAAAAGGTGTTCAGAGCATCCATCATATAAAATAATATATATTAGAGTGCTCTGATGGAGCCCTGGTGGTACAGTGGTTAAGAAGTTGGCTGCTAAACAAAATGTCAGCAGTTCGAATCCACCAGGCTCTCCTTGTGAAACCCTATGGGGCGGTTCTATTCTGTCCTACAGGGTCACTATGAGTCGGAATCAACTCGATGGCAATGGTTAATGGGTTAAAGTGTTTTGAAAAGGGAATTTTAATAGGATTTGCTGTATCGGCTTAACACATTGTTACCCACTGGGGCCTATCTACACTGCTTGAAAATATAGGGGTATGAATAAGGAATACAATTCATTCTCCAGGGTGACTGATAAGTAATAGTTCCCTCTGAGTCTCAGTTTCTTCATCTATAAAATAGAGATTCAAATATACCTACCTCACAAGGATTCTCTGAAAAATAAATGAGATAAAGCTCAGGGCCTGACACACATAGGTGCTCTATGAATGTTTGCTGATGGTGATGGTGGTGGTGATACAGGGGGAGGAGGAAAGAAGGAAGAGGAGAAATATGACACAGAATTTGGGAAAAGAAAGTTATTGACCAAGATCCCAGTCAAAGTTCAGGTTGGATGCCAGGAGAAAGGTGAAGGCACAGAGTGACTTTAAAAATTACAGGGTATGGCTACCGGAATATGAAGTAGCAGAACAGAGACACCAGAGTCAACCTCACTTCCACTCTGCCATGGGCAATCCTTCTGGAATAAGACCCTTCCTTGCAGAGAAGAAAATAACTTTCAATTTGCATTTAGCCACCACTTCTCCGGGGATAGAGAGTCAACATAGGGCACTTAATCTGGAAAAGACCCACAACTGCCATATCATCCTCATCATCAAACATTTACCAAGCATCACCTAAATGCCTGGCTTCTAGAGATATTGAAGTCATGCCAGTTTTTTAAGGGATGGCTCTTTGTCTTTAAATAATGCTGGGTAAGGTGCCTGATAAACCACAAAATTTAAAAATAGGATACGGAAACTCTAGTTTTCCCTTGGTGTTAGGTAATACCTGGCTGGCCCCCAAACTCTCAAAAATCATATTAATTTCTAAATTATATTTTTTTACGTGAAGTTAAAAAAAATTAAAAGATCACTTTATTCACCCTTCCCTCCCCATGCTAACCCCCGAAAAACACACTTTCATAGAGCAATATTCACCTCTTATGGATCTGATACGTGGTTCTTAGTTCTTCAGCAAATCACAGGAGACACCTAGGAAAGTGACCCATTCCTAGTCAAAAACGCGTGTCACACAACTAAGAGTCACTACTTCCAAGGAAATCAGACAAACTCCAAGTCACCTGGCTGACAGCTTTTATTCATGATGAATAAATAGTTTTTGGTAAGGACAGGTTATCCATTTTTAATAACTGTTTTATTACAAAAGTCACATCAGCCTAATATACAGCACATAGAAAAGATCAAACAGCGCAAAGTAATAAAAGTTGAAAACCATTCCCCCATGATCACATTTTCCAAAGATAACCACTCTGTTGACTTTTTAGTATTTCTCTTTCCAGACTTTTCTATACAAATAATCCAAATTACCTTCTCACACATTTATTTCACAACTTTTTTATCAACCTAGCAACATATTATGAATTATTTTTATACCAATAAACATCCCTCTACATTGCTATTTTGAATGACTGCACAGCATTCTATGATATAAATGCCCATCTTTTGTTTACCAGTGATTCTCAAACAGGAGAGAGCATTGAGAAAGGTGAGAGTCATTTTTGGATGACCTGGAGGGTGGCTCTTGGCATTTAGTGGACAAGGGTCAGAGATGATAAACATCCTACAGTACACAATGAGGAAATGCCCAAAGCCAATATCACCTCAGTTGAGATTCATTAAATCAGTTGTTTACTGTAGAATGTATTTCTCTCATTTCCAGTTTGAAGGCTATTATAAATAACACAGTAAAGAACATCCTCGTTCACTCATCTCTATTTCCTGAAGACACATTCATAGAAGAGGCATCATTTGATCAAAGGTTATGTACACTTAAGACTTTTAATACATTTTGCCAAACATCCTCCAGAAAATTTTAATCAATCTATAGTCTGCCAGTGAAAGCATACTACAACATGTTAATAAGCAACACTGCACAGGGGAAGAAACTGCCCAGGCCTGTTTTATACCTTAAAAACCTACATAACCTTAAGCAAGTCACTTAATTTCTTGGCGTCTCAGGTTTCTTCATCTGTAAAATGGCAACAATACCCACTCTGCCCATCTCACAAGCTCCTTGTGTTGATCAAGTAAAACAAGGTATAAAAATCTGTTCAAGTGTAAGGGACTGTTTTTTAAAGCAATCATATCAACACAGCTTCTCTTTATCTGGCAAAGAAAAGGGGCAGCAGGCATTGCAAATGCAAACGCCTGGAGAGACCGGGCATGAGTAAAATGGGCCAAGCCGAAAGGCAATGATGCTTGGCCTCAGTATCGGGGATGCATTAAGGAGGGGGGAATTGAAGATAACTTGTAAATTCCCATCTAAAGACACTACATGTTACTTAGTTTCCAATAATTTTTTTCCTGTAAAAATATAGCACTAATTGACAGATTTTCCATTAGAAAACACAACTCCAAAGAAAACACAACTCTCCAAAACAATGTTTTAAGCACGATGAAGACCAAACATCCCACATTTGCAAGCCATGTTTGTCCAAGACCATATATTTTCTACCTCTGTCTTAAATCTTAATCACACAAGGATTCTCATCTATCAAAATGCCTACTCTTTTTGCAGAAATGGGCGTCTCTTAGGGGTTTGTGCCAGCGTGGACAACTGCCGATTGTTTGTTGGGGGAATCCCGAAAACCAAAAAAAGAGAAGAAATACTATCAGAGATGAAAAAGGTCACTGAAGGAGTTGTCGACGTCATTGTCTACCCAAGTGCCGCAGATAAAACCAAAAACAGGGGCTTCGCTTTTGTGGAGTATGAGAGTCATCGGGCAGCCGCCATGGCGCGGAGGAAACTGCTACCAGGTTTGCAACCCCTCCTCAGAGATGAGCCATCTCTACCCCATCCTGCCTGCCTCAGGCTGGTGTGCGTATTAGCAAAGAAAACAAACACTTGTTTTGTTTTGTTTTTGCCTTACATCTTTGTTTATGTCATATTTTAATCTCGTTGTCCTTATCCGTTTCACAATAGATTCAATTCCCTGACGTTTTCACAGACTCGGTTCTGAAAAATATTCATTCTGTACATTGAAGCTAATTTACATTAGCACTGGAGCATTACATTACTTTAACATTACCTTAAAGCACTGGAGAAGCCCAGTACTTTAGGGGATAGAAACTTTACAAGGGATCCTGAAAGTGAAGAATCTTCTTTAAATTATGCCAGTAATTTTTGTATATAGATTTTGTTATTCGGCTTATTTGAAATAGGTCACATCATCTATTACAATGAAGAAATAGTAAACCTTCAAGTGATAAATTATCTCAATGACTATTAAATAATATACTTTTATTATGACTCCCTAAACTGAGACCAAACCCACTGCCGGTGAGTCAATTCAGATTCATAACGACCCGTAGAACACAGTGGAACTGTCCCATAGTGTTTCCAAGGCTGTAATCTTTATGGAAGCAGACTGCCACATCTTTCTCCTCCAGAGCAGCTGGTGGATTCAAACTGCCAACCTCTTGCTTAGCAGCTGAGTGCTTAACCACTTTGCCACCAAGGCTCTTTATGACTCTAGTATCTAATAATTTCTGTCTAATTTGGAGGAATAGAAACAATAGCTCTCCTGAGAAAAGAACCTTTGTTAAGTGCCACACCCAGAGGATAGGTCCCACTTGGGCAGTAACCATCAATTTCTGAGTCTGAAAGATTCCAGCAAGACACTGCCTCAGTCAGTCTCAGATCGACTTAGAAAAAAAATTATTTTAAAGTTCTTGGCTCATTCTAAAATATTCACTAAAACTTACACAAAGTATTTGTATTCTTAGAGCTGCTGTAACAAATTGTCACGAACTTGGCAATTTAAAGCAACAGAAATTTATTCTTTCACAGTTCTGGAGGCCAGAAGTCCCAAATCAAGCTGTTGCCAGGGACATGCTTCCTCCAAAGGCTCCAGGGGAGAATCTTTGCTTGCCTCTTCCAGCTTCTAGTGGTTCCAGGCATTCCGTGGCTTGTGGCACTAAACCTCCAATCTTTGCCTCCAGCTTCACAGCGTCTACTCCTCTGTGCGTTTTCCTTTTCTCTTGGTCTAATCTCTCTCTGCCTCACTCTTAGCAGGACACTTGTAATTAGATTTAAAGCCCACCAAAGTAATCCGAGATGATCTCATCTTGAGATCCTTAAGTTAATTATACCCACAAAGACCCTTTTTCCAAATAAGATCATATTTGCATGTACCAGGTATTAGGGTTTCTACATATCTTTTTGGAGAGTGCCATCTTTTTTCAACCCATTAGAGTATTAAAATGAATTAATATTAAAACTATAAGAGAATTTCAAACAGTGATAGACTAGGCACATTGGGACCAGCTCTTCTCATGAACATTATTGGAGATCCCCACCAGAATTAAAAACAAAACACCAACAACCAAAACACCCAGATTACGTTGCCCTTACACATGTTCTTAAAAACAAAACGAATGAGTACAAGTAGGCTTAGCTCTGTAGAAATTTTCAAAATTGAGACATGGTGTCTGGGTTTGGGGGAGATTGTTTAACAATATTTTCAAGCAATTAGCTTAAAGTGAAAAATATGAACTAGCTTCAAAAAAATGCTAAATCTACTAGAGAAATGGACATTTTTAATGTTGAAACTTTTATTCACTGCTTCTTGATTCTTCACTAGCCAGTGGTCAAGTCATCTGACTCACAGGCCCATAGAATCACTAAAACTCCTCGGAAGGCATGCCCAGTCTCTCAGCCACCCAGACTTGTCATTTTGCTATCCTCTTCAACTCTTCTCTCTCCTTCAGCACCAACAATTCTGCCATTGAAAAGCCCCTGTATCCATCCTGCTCTCAGGCCACCACTGTGGTCTAAACACATATATTCTCAGCCTGAGATTATTTTTTCAAGATCTCCTAATTGTTCTCCCACCTCTACTGTCTTTTATACACCCCACATTCTGCCTAGTCCACCCTGAATATTACCACCAGATTAATGTTTCCAAAATGTCATGTCATCTTTTTGACAAATACTACAAATATTAGGAATTCAACCTGTCTGTTAATAGACTAGATGATGTCACTCACTTGCCTGTTCAAAAATATTCACTGACTCCTTTCTGCATTGGAGATAAAGACTAAATATCTGAGCCTGTCATTCAAGACTGGTCATTGATGGTCCCAATCCTTTAAAATCTTATTTGTTATCTTCTATTTCCCAATAAAAATCCTCGTTTCTATCAAGATAGACTTCTCAAGGTCCTAGACACCACCTTGCTCATTTCTATCTCCTTTATTTCTAATACTTCATTCCTTACCAGAAAGCCCCGCCCTCTCCTCTCTATTCATTCATGGCCTTCACAGCCTCACCTCAGCCACGACCTCCTTGAGAAACTGCTGCCACTATTCCAGTCAGCACTGAACATTTTTCTCCCTCTACTGAGGCAGCCATTCATCATCTATAAAAACAATATGTACAATCATTTTGGGGGTGGGGAGAATGACAACAAGAGAGGGTCCAGAATGGGCAATAGATAGTTTTCAGAAGCAGACAACCAGAGTTCCTAAAGAGGCTGAACCTCCCATAACCTTCCCTATCTTTTCAAACAACACAGCATGCTGGTCCACACAGAGGATTTCTCTCTACATGACTTGAGCTGACTAGGTGGGGCAGGGCTGAGCAGCTGGACCTCAGAAATTCTCAAACACTTACTGTACTTCCACCCAAGATCATGACTCTTCCATATGGATTTCTTGTCCTGGATCTAGCAATATAGGTGCTACCTCACTCTCCCCATCCACTACCTACCTTCGTTATGATCTGAGGAAACCTCCCTTCACCTTTGACCCTTTGAGTCGGCTCAGTTGGGTTTCATTCAGCAGAGTTGCACTCAGGATGCCTTGTCAGCAAACTAGCCAGCTGAGGCACAGTGGTGAATGAATCAGCCAGGGAAAGATGCTTCATTTCTTATGAGGCCGGAGAGTAAAAAATCTATTAACCATTTGGACCAATCTACCTATTAGAGTCTCCACTGGAGACTCAACAACAACAAAGGATTTTGGTAATAGGCAAACCTCTGGAGAGCCTAGTTTTAAAGAATGAGGAGATCTTCAAGAAGCATGATAAGCAAGGACCACAAGAAACTTTCCTTCTTAATTGATCCGGAGTTGAAGACAGAGAGAAAACTATTGTGGGAAGTGATGTAATTGCTCCCTAGCCACTCACTTGCTCTGTTAACAATGACGACTCTCTCTTAAAAAAATGCATCTTTACTGAGCTGTGTGTAGAACCACACAGTTGCATCCAATTCAGAGGCTATCAAAGAACACTCTGAAAAAAAGTTCTAACAGTTCTTGGCATTATTTTAGGTTTATATTCTGACACCCTACATCAGCGGTTCTCAACTTTAGCCTCCATCAGAATCACCTGAAGGGCTTGTTAAAACACAGATTGCTGCGCCCAAACCCGAGAGTTCATGATTTAGTAGGTCTGGGGTGGGACTGGGAAATTCGCATTTCTAACAACAACAACAAAAAAGTTGCCATCAGTTGATTCCAACTCGCAGTGACCGTATAAGACAGAGTAGAACTAACTGCTTCATAGAGTTTCCAAGGAGTGGCCGGTGGATTTGAACTGCTGACCTTCTGGTTAGCAGCCAAGCTCTTAATTTCTAACAAGTTCCCAGGAAATGTTGATTCTATTGCTCTAGAACCAGTAATCTTATCAATGATTGTCCATCCTGGGCTACTTATTAGAATCATCTGGGGAGGTTTACAAACAACACCAGTGTCCAAACACAACCTCTGACCAATTGAATCTGCTTCTCTGGGGTATAGAGTTGGATCACTAGTGCTTTAAATTCTCCAGATGATTCTACTGTGCATCTAAGTTGTGTGATCCCAGGTTAAATCAATCAGCTAATGATCTGAGTACATGGGAGGTGCATAGGAACACTTGGAGAACCACTCAGTCAGTAAACGTTCATTAAGCATCTACAGCGTACATTGCTGTCTTCTAGATGTCATGGAGAATTCCAGAAAGCATAATTCCTAACCATTGTACTCAAAGAGCACATATTCTTGAAGAAATTAGACATACAAGAAAGTAGACAAAAATATCAAGAGGAGAGTAAATTATTGAAGGCACCGTTTTAAAGTGATAAAGTCCTTTGCATGCATCACCTCCTCTTGTGTGTACAACAACCCTGTTAATTAAATACTGTTATCATCCCAAGAGCCTTGGTGGCACAGTGGTTAAGTGCAGGGCTGCTAACGGAAAGATCAGCAGTTCAAACCCACCAGCCATTCCATGGAAGAAAGATGTGGCAGTCGGCTTCCGTAAAAATTTACAGCCTTGGAAACCCTATGGGGCAGTTCTACTCTGTCCTATAGGGTCACTATGAGTCGGAATTGACTTGATGGCATACAACAACATTATCATCCCAATTTTACAGATGAGGAAATTGATGCTTATAAAGGTTATGTTTCCTACCCCAGATCATTAATCCACCAGACAGTTCACAGGGATATTTGTGGAAATCACTGCTTCCCGTAAGTCCTCTCACTTCTGTCTACCCTAGCCTGTTTTCAACTCCTGAGGCCCATAGATAGCTTACCATAGTCCCAAACTGGGAAGGCAAAAGTCAATAGGCTAGCGCTTCTCAAACTAGGCTGCATGTTAGAACTAACTGAGGAGCTTTTAAAAATCCTGATGCCCAGACCATTTACATCAGAACTGGGGCAGGTAGTGGTGGTGTCAGTGGGAACTAGTAAGTCTTTAACAACTGCTCTCCAGGGAAAATCAAAAGCCCTGATTGGTAGCATTTGCTGATTTTCATAGTATTCATACTCCTACTGTGATTGATTTCAAGCCACTAACATGACACATGATGTCAACTGGCTCACAATATTCTGAAAATCTCACATCATATTCTTTCAGGCCAATAGGAGCTGGCTCCAACACACCATTGAGTGAAATCCAGGTTTCAGGGTTTTTTAAAGCTCTGCCACGTAGTTCTAATGTAAGGTCAAGGTTGAAAACTACTGAGCTACAGATAACCAGAGCTACCTGGGAGTCTAACGAATCTTGGGATAAAACACAAATGTTATGGATTGAATAGCATCCCAAAAAAATGTATGTCAACTTGGCTAGATCATGATTCCCAGTATTATGTGATTGTCCATCATATTGTCATCTGATGTGATTTTCCTATGTGTTGTAAATCCTACCTCTATGGTGTTAATGAGGTGGGATTAGCGGCAGTTATGTTAATGAGGCAGGACTCAATGTACAAAATTAGGTTGTGTCTTAAACAAATCTCTTTTGAGATATAAAAGAGAGAAGCAAGCAGAGAGACATGGGGACCTCATACCACTAAGAACCAATAGTCAGGGGACGGACAATAGTACATTCTTTGGACCTGGGGTCCCTGCTCTGAAAAGCTCCTAGACCAGAGGAAGATTGATGAACCTTCCTCTAGAGCCAACAGAGAGAAAAAGCCTTCCACTGGAGCTGGTGCCCTGAACTCGGACTTCGAGCCTACCAGACTGTGAGAGAATAAACTTGTTTGTTAAAGCCATCGACTTGTGGTATTTCTGTTATAGCAACTATAGATAACTAAGACAACAAATAGAAAGGCTATGTAAAGAATAAGGAGCCCTGGTGGCACAGTGGTTAAGTGTTTGGCTAGTAACCAAAAGGTTAGCTGTTGAAACCCACCAGCTGCTTCACAGGAGAAAGGTATGGCATTCTGCTTCTGTAAAGACTACAGCCTTGGAAACCCTACTCTGTCCCATAAGGGTCAGAATAGACTTGATGGCAGTGGGTTTATGTAAAGACTAGAAAGGAAAAGGAAGGGAAGGGAAAGCAATGAGAAGGGAAGGAACAGGAGGGGAGAGGAGGGAAAAGGAAACTAAGGGCAGCAAAGAGAGTAACAGAAAACTAGCCTCTGAAGTGCAATGCAGAGCAAAGCAGCAAGAGCCAGCCTCTCCAGGATCAGCTGATAACTCACTAGGTTCCGTCTATTCTCCATTTGGATTTCAGAACAGCAATGTCACAGATGCTTTTATTGACTGCTTTTCTGTGTTTGATTGAAAATAATCGCTTCTCATGTGTAATAATTAAGCAACTAAACCCGTACCAGTACTGACAATTCTAGATTTTGTTTTCTCGAGCTCTTTGCTGCTTCCAGGATATCACACTGCCATCGAGTCAATTCTGACTCATAGTGACCCTATATAGGACAGAGTAGAACTGGCCCATAGGATTTCCAAGGCTATAAATCTTTATGGAAGCAGACTGCCACATCTTTCTCCCATGGAGCAGCTGGTGGGTTCAAACTGCCGACCTTTTGGTTAGTAGTTGAGCCCTTTAACCACTGAGCAACCAGGCCTCCTTCCAGGATATAGCTTGTTTCAAATGACTAATAAGAAACACACTAGATTTCCAACCAAATTTAAAACTTGAATTAACCCTAACCCCCTTTTCTCATTACCTCAGCATGGATATGGACTGTGTAAGGATACAGGGGAATCCCTAAGTGGTACAAACAGTTAACGTGCTTGGCTGCTAACTGAAAGGTTGAAGGTTCGAGCTCACTCAGAGGCACCCCAGAAGAAAGGCATGGTGATCTACTTCCAAACAATCAGCCACTGAAAACCCTGTGGAGCACAGTTCTACTCTGACACATATGGGGGTCGCCATGAGTTGGAATCAACTCAACAGACAGCAACTGAGAGTGGGAGATGGGGGAGTGATGTGTGTGCAGGTGCCAAGTCAGAGAAAACAAAGGGGGAGAGGTTGTGAAGTGAAACAGGTTTAGGCAAGCTATCCTCTCTAAATTCATTCCCTCTTCTGTAAAATTGGGAGAGTCATTCCCCTCCTCACAGGATTACTATGAGAAGGAACTGAAATAGCATATGGGATATACATAGTACATTGCAAGACATTCAATAAATTGTAGCTAAAGGAATATGAAAATACATTTAGTCATGGATACCAACTACCCTTTCGAGAAGAGTTAAATTTCTCATCACAGACTCTTCCTTCGCTTATCATCTCTTTTTAGGCAATTTTTTTTCTTTAGATTCCCAAATTATCCATTTTCTGACAGAGAGAAAATCAGAAGTGAGCACAGTTGGCCTACCGGGCAGCGTTTCCTTCTGTTGAACATAGGGTCGCTATGAGTTGGAACTGACTCGATGGCACCTAACAACAGTTGGCCTGAGCCCTGACTAGGTGTGAGGGTCAGAGCACAAACCAAGGAAGGTTGTGTCTTCCACACTCTTCCCTGAGCACCAGTTTTTGGACAACTCCATGGTGATGTCTGGCCAATGTAACAACACATGCCAACAGCAGCAGACACACTTCCTTGTGACCTTTTAATGTCTGAGGAGTCAGGCTGTATGTCTGAGCTCTAAACCCTTTCTTTTCCTCTCCACTTGCTTCATCTCCTGTTCAACCATTATCATCACACCATGACAGCTGCCCCAAGACCCAAACATACCCACTGCTGCCTCACTTCTGTTCCTTTTTAAAACCATATCCCAGGTCCCTAATGATGATAATGAACCTCTAGTCACACTGAACTCCCTTCTAGCCAACTCATATTTATTCAGAATGTCTCTTAAGCTCAGTAATCACCTCCTTTAATACTGGTCTTCTTGCCCATTCAAGGCCTCAAGGATTTGTTCAATTTAAAAGGTCATCAGTATGAACTAATATAGTGTTGTCCTGATTTCTACATAATTGATCATACCTGTGATCATTTTCAACAGGAAGAATTCAGTTATGGGGACACCCTATTGCAGTAGATTGGGCAGAACCGGAAGTAGAGGTTGATGAAGACACAATGTCTTCGGTGAAAATCCTATACGTAAGAAACCTTATGCTGTCTACTTCTGAAGAGATGATTGAGAAGGAATTCAACGATATTAAACCAGGTAAGACATACCATAGATGATTATTTTTTCAAAATGTATTTTAAACATGTTTATATATCCTTTAAATAGGGCAGCTTGTATTTATATCATCCTCATAATTGCATGTAGACTATGTCAACAATATGCCTATCTTTGGATTAGAAAATAAATGTATATTTCTATAGCATTTATCAATATTATAATATTACATTTATCTATGTGATTAGTTAGGTCCCTAGGTAGCGCACAATGTGCGCTAGACTGTTAACCTAAATGTTGGCGATTCATCCCCACCCAGTAGTACTGTAGAAGAAAAGTCCTGCCAATCTGTTTCCATTAAGATTATAGCCAAGAAAACTCTATGGAACAGTTCTATTCTGGAACACATGGGGTTGTCATGAGTCAAAATCAACTTCACAGAAACTAACAACAATAACAAATGTGATTATTTAACAAAAACCTCCTTCACTACACGATAATTTCCATGAGGTCTTTTTGCTTCCATTGTTTCCGCCATCCCTGTCTCTGTGCCTGGGGCATAGAAAATGTCAATAAATATTTACTGAATTAATGAATGCATGGCCATAACTATACGTCTAATACAAAGTTTCTCAACCTCAGCGCTACTGAAATTTTGGGCTAGATAATCTTAATTGTGGGGGCTGTCCTGTGCATTGTATGATGTTTAACAGGATCCAAGTCATAACAATCAAAAAAAATGACTCCAGATATTGCCAAATGTACCCTACCAAATAACCAAAACCAAACCTATTGCCGTCAAGTCGACTCTGACTCACAGCGACCCTATAAGACAGAGTAGAATGCCCTGTAGGGTTTCCAGGGAGGCGCTGGTGAATTCAAACTGCCGACCTTTCAGTTTGCAGCCTAGCTCTTCTTAACCACTGCACCCCCAGGGCTCCAAATGTACCCTAGAGAGGGCAAAATTTCCCTAGTTGAGAACCAGGGGTCTAATGGACTACAGTTGTGGCTTTAAGTACGTAAGTAAGAAGATGAAACTCATTTTGGTGAAAAGGAAGGGAAAGAAGTAGAGGAAAAGTGGGGTTGGGGTATAATTAGTTGCTACTCATCTTGTCAATGCTTTTTGGTGCCAATTCCAGGCTTCTAGGCTATGAGATTGACTCCCCACCTCTTTCTTCTCCACATGAGAGCTACAACATTGAGACAGGTAGAGCATTTCAAGAAGCAAGGTCCAAATAAGCATTTCCCCAAGTCTATTTTGCAGAATATTAATTTCACAAACTGTTTGTAGACGCTACTGATAAAAGGGATATATGGTGAAAAATGTTTACATACACCAGATTCAGCAATATTAAAACAGATTTCTTAATGTGGGACTTGTCAGTCCTTAACCTTCTAACATATTTTGAAGGTATCCAGAAGAAAAGATATAGAATGCCTTGTTTCCCAAACTTTTGGACCATGAATTCTTTTTTCAGCAGACCATCTTTGGGAATTAGTGTGTCTCAAAACACTCTGGGCAATGCTGGCCTAGGCTTTATACAGTGGTAACAGCATCTTTCCATAACTGAGAATTTCTCTGCTCCATCCTTATTCTATTCATTCATTCATTCAGCTCTCACTTTTGGAGTACCTCCTATGTGCCGGGCACGGTGGGAAGGACCAACAAGTGTGATGTGTGTGGGCAAGGAGTTTAAGATGCTCCAGAACAATGGCAGCCCACTCCAGGGTTCCAGAGAAGACTCACGCTTAGGAGAAGTGACATGTAAGCTGAGAGCTGAAAGTTGATGCAGTTGTAGGCAAAGAAACTGATATGTATGTGTATAAATATTGCTCCACCAACACTACCACCCCCATTCTGTGTTAACTTTCAACTTTCCAAGAGTGAATACTTATTTTTATCTAATTAAAACAGGACTTTTTTTTTTGGAAAGGGCTAAAGTGAGAAATCACTAAAAGGCTGCTTCCTTGCATAGTCATTGGTTATCAGCTTTCCCAGTCTGCATACTGAAGGGAGGCATGGCATTGCCCAGGCACTGTTAATTATAATGAAAATAACGCATGCCAGATCTGTTCATGTACTCCCTCGCGCGTGCTCTCTCTCCCTCTCGACATTTCCGCCTTAGGCCGAAAGTGTGTCCAGTTGTTCCAGGGCACATCCAGAGGCTGGTGGCACAACTCACAGGCCTCTCTAATGATGTGTGACTTGTTCCCTTCCACACTCTGCTAAAGAACGTGAATTTCAGAGGTTGACTGACTTGCAGATGTCTGCTGCATTGGGAGGGAAACATCAGAGGTAGCTGGGGTTTTTTTCCGGTGGAAACGATGTATTATATGAGCCTCTGCCTGTCTAGGAAAACTCCTGCAGAGATACAGGCAAATAACTCTTGAAATTTTTTTTTGACAGTTTGGATCTCCAGAGGAACCTAAATATTTCCTGCAGATATCTGACAGTATGTAATCTTGACCCTTATGGACCTGAAAATATTATAGTGCCACTCAGAGAAACAAATGACAATCAGAACAGAAACTGAGGTCTGAAAATTTTTTTTCCCCCTAGTAGAGCCTAGAGGCATCAGCTGAAGGTCCAGTTCTAGTTACTCTACAAAATCTGATTTTCCTACCCCAGTTTAGCAGCATCAGAATTACCTGGAGGGTTTGTTAACAACAGATTGCTGGGCCTCACCCCCAGAGTTTTTGATTTGGTAGGTCTAGGTGGAGTGAAACTCAGAGAAGCCCTGGTGGCACAGTGGTTAAAGTGCTTGGCCGCTAACAAAAAGGGCAGCGGTTTGAACCCACCGAGCCACTCTGTGGCAGAAAAATGTGACAGTCTGCTTCTGTAAAGATTTAAAGCCTTGGAAACCCTATGAGGTAGTCCTTCTGTGTCTTATAGGGTTGCTATGAGTTAGAATCGACTCAGTGGCTGTGGGTTTGGTTTGGTTGAAGTGGAGCCCAAACATCTGCATTTCTATTGTTTTTGTTGCGTGTTGATTCTGACTCATAGTGACCCTAAAGGACAGAGTAGAATTACCCTACAGGGATTTCTTGGCTGTAATCTTTACTGAAGCAGATTGCCAGACCTTTCTTCCATGATGCTTCTAGGTAGATTCGAACCACCAACCTCTAGGTTATTAGAGAGGGTAAACTCTCGTTTGCACCACGCTGGGACCTCTTGTTAAGTTCCTAGGTGAAGGGAACTTCTGATGCTGCTGATTGAGGACCGCACTTAGAGAACTGTGGTTCTGTGACAATCCTCCTTGACATTAGGTCTGTTTCTCTTCAGGTAATTTATGTGCCGTGGACAACCTGATAATGAACAGAGCAGTATTTTTTCAATGCCTTATATTATGATTTCAGAAAATCTTTTTCTTCATAGCTGATGGATTAGCCCCTAATAATGACCACAGATATTTTAACTTTAAGTTTCTCTGGCTTACCCTTTGCCCAGTGATGATCAATAAACAAACTCCTAAGCACCAAAGGAGGAACATATTAAAATAAGCCATGTGGTGAATACTACCATAAAGAAAACAAGGTTTTATGATACAAACTTTCACTTTCTAATTTGTCTGTTTTATGAGATTAAATTTTCATGTATTTAGTTTTGCAAAGCAGTTGCATCTGGACAATGCCACTCAAAAACACAAGCAGATTTCAAGTATCTGCAGGCAGAATTTCAGAACACCTAAATCGGTTGTCATCTGAAGTGCCGCCGAAGTAATGTGAATGGCAGAAGTTGGAGTGTGAATTGACTGGTAATATTCCCTCATCTTGTGTATATTTGTTAAGTGTACAAGGCCCTGGGCTGAAAGTGGATGAAAACAATGCCAAGATGCCTCTGAAGCAGATCTTGTTCTCGGGGAGCTTACTGTCTAGTGGGACCTAGATGGAAGGTGGCACTGAAGAAGGAAAAGAAGAACTGGAAAGGTTGAGGTTTTCATCAGCCAAACTTCTACTTCTCAATTAATAAGACTAACTATAATGTTAAATTATGACAGTCACACCACCTGACCCTGAAGGAAATAAAGAGAGCCAATTATTTTCTGCTTTGAATTTTTTGTTGATACCATGTGTTTTCATTAATGGAAGCATGCTGAATCATTGAGTGTTGTTGAATTTTTGGCAGGTAGTATGGACTCTTTTTTTTTTTTTTTTTTCTTTTTGTCCTCTCCAACAATCCTACTCTCAGAGTCCTGAGGGACATACATGTCCCACTAATTCTACCCTGGACGTACTCTAGAGTCCAGAGGGACATACAATGTCCCAAAGAAAATTTTTCATAATTTCTCTTTCTCCTACCAAAAATGCACACACCTCATACAACATCTTATAGAAACAGTAAATTGCAGCACATTCCTGTTTGTTTGGTTTCAAACAGTCATAAAGGCCCCTGCCTTGGAGCAGCATGGACTGTCAGTGGGAAAGCAGCTTCCCAATGAACCTGAGCAGGGGAAAAAGTGGGTGGGCAAAAGTATATCCCAACGGTCACTCGAGGGTTCATTATGAGCTCCGCGCTTCTTGGTTTCAGATACTTTCATTTATTTTAATCATTCTGGCCAGACAATTTTGTTCTGTACAACCACCGTCAAAAGAAGCCAAGGGCTGAATGCTGTCGGGAGAGGAAAGAGAAGTGCCAGAATATTTTTTAATTATTCTTACATTTCAGCACTACGATTATTCCAGAGGAAGATAATTCACAGCCATTGAACCATGCAGTAGCATAGAAACCCTCATTGCCTTTGTGACCTAAATCTAAGAAGACAACTGAACTTTGATAGTGGAGAGGAAGGAAGAAGAGGACTCTTCTCCTCGTTGAATCCTCTCTGGCGTAGTATCTCATCCTGTGTTATCTCTAGGCACTGAGACAGGAGACGAAAACCTGGCCTCTCAAAATGCACCCAACTGAGGTCTAATAAGCTAAAGAGGATAAGTGACATCCAAAACGTGTAAGTGCTTGTTTATGGATTGAACTGTGTTGCCTAAAATTATGTGTTGTAAATCCTAACCCCTACACCTGTGGTAAGACCAAAAACTACAGCCTTCATATTATGGATTACACCTAACCATAAAAAAAAAAAATCCTCATAACTGGACCAATAAGCAATATGATGATAAACAGAGAAGAGACTGACATTGTCAAGGATTTCATTTTACTTGGTTCCACAATCAACTCCCATGGAAGCAGCGGTCAAGAAATCAAACGATGTATTGCATTGGGCAAATCTGCTGCAAAAGACCTCTTCAAAGTGTTAGAAAGCAAAGATGTCACTTTGAGGACTAAGGTGCACCTGACTCAAGCCATGGTATTTTCAACCATCTCATATGCATGTGAAAGCTGGACAATGAATGAGGAAGACCGAAGAAGAACTGATGCCTTTGAATTATGGGACCGGTGGAGAATAGTGAATACACCATGGACTGCCAGAAGAACAAACAAATCTGTCTTGGAAGAAGTATAACCAGCATGTTCCTTAGAAGTGAGGATGGCAAGACTTCCTCTCATGTACTTGGGACGTGTTATCAGGAGGGACCACTCCCTGTAGAAGGATATTATGCTTGGTAAAGTAGAGGGTCAGTGAAAAAGAGGAAGACCCTCAAGGAAATGGAGATTGACACAATGGCTGCCATGATGGGCTCAAGCATGGCACAGGACCAGGAAATGTTTTGTTCTGTTGTATATAGGGCCACTATGAGTCGGAACCAACTCAAGGGCACCTAACAATAAAAACAACATGCCATGGTTATAATCCCATTTGGGAATGGGTGGTCTTTGTTATGTTAATGAGGCAAGACTAGTGTAGAGTGTATCTTGAGTCAATCTTATTTGATATAAAGATTAAGCAAGCAAGCTAGAAGAGAGATGGGGGAAGATTGATGTCAAGCCACATGGAGATCTCCAAGGAACCAGGAAATGAGCTGAAGAGACAAGGACCTTCCTCCAGAGCTGGCAGAAAGAGAAAGCCTGCCCCTAGAACCCCCTGAATTTGGACTTCTAGCCTCCTAAACTGTGAAAAAACAAATTTCTCTTTGTTAAAGCCATTCACTTGTAGTATTTCTGTTATAGCAGCACTAGTAACTAAGTAGTTTCGCAAGTTTCTATCTTACTTTCACTCTAGGTTAAAAATGCTATTTTTAAAATTAAGTAAGCGACAATTTTTTTCATTTTATTAATATAATGTAAAATATAAAGGTCAACCATCTCAGTACAACTTTTTAAATTTTTATGTGTTATAATCAACATTGCAGTTCTACATAAAAATAGTTTTTTTTGTTCTTGTTGTTATTATTACACAAGTTCCTCTACATAAAAAATAGATCAGGTTTGTTTTTTAATCACACAGTAACGTAAACAATTCTTGTAAAATACTTGTGAAATACCAAATATATAAATTAAAATATGAAAGTCACTTCATTCTCCCCAACGCTTTCTCCCCATTCCTGAAGCAACCCCTGTTAACAGTTTGGATTGCATCTTCTCAGTTCTCTTTGTGTGTGTGTGTGTATTTATATTTATATGCACATGTATATGTGTTGGTATTTTTAAAACAAAAACGCTGTAATATTATTATTTTGTAACTTTTTCAATGTAGCAACAGGTCTTGGATCTTCCCATGTAAGTACATATAGGTCTGCTTTGTTCTTTTTAAAGACTCCTTGGTGTTTGTTACTTGGCATGAATGTACTGTATTTAATCACTTCCCTGAAAACGGATAGTTAGGTTGTTTTATTGTTTGCTATGACAACAGTGGTGTAATGGATATCTTTGTGCATGATCCTTGTGCACGTGTATGAGTATTTCTGTAAAAGGCATTCCTGAAAGCAGAATTAGTGTACAGCTACGTTGTTTCCATCATGAACAGCATCACAGGGAACCATCTTGTTCTCAAATCTTCCTTCAGAAAACTTTTTTTTTTTTTAACCTAAAGAGTATTGGAAAAGGAGATCTGAGTTCTGGCTCCTAGCTGTGTGGACTCATAAATTTCACTTACCTTGTCAGAACCTTAGTTTCCTAACATTAAATGTAAAAATAAGTAAATTAAGGTAAATTTAATTAAGCAAAAATTAAAGTAGAAGATCATTAATGTCCTTCCTATCTCTAAAATTCTACTATCTAAGAAAAAAGAGATAAGGAATTTTCTTTTGGTGGGAGGAATTTAAAAAGGTAATTCCCTAAATCTATGTTTATAAGATGACCCATAATTGAATTCCACTCAGCTCAACAAATATTTTACCATGTACAAGATGTTACCTTTTACATTATATGAGATGCAAAGTAAGATACTATCCGTGCACTTAAAAAGCTTATAAAGTACATAGTACACAAGTCCATACTAATTATAATGAGGCATAATATAAAGTAACTGCCATGGAGTCAGTTCCAACTCATAGCGACCCCATAGGGTTTCCAAGGCTGTAAATCTTTACGGAAGCAGAGTGCCACATCTTTCTCCCGCGGACCTGCTGGTAATTTCGAACCACTGACCTTACGGTTAGCAGTCAAGTGCTTTAACCACTGGGCCACCAGGCATAATATAGGTATTATACAAAAATTACAAATAAAAGCTTCTGTTGAATGTGTAGATTTTAAACCTGGACATATGAAATTTCTTGATGAGATCCTTACCTAAATAGTGGTTCTCCCAAAAAAGTCAATCAAATAATCTTGGAAACTAAATGCTAAATATATCATTTTCAGTTTTGTCTCAGGTTTTCTAATAGGGCTACTTTCATTCTACTTACAGGTGCTGTGGAGAGGGTGAAGAAAATCCGAGACTATGCTTTTGTGCACTTTAGTAACCGAGAAGATGCAGTTAAGGCTATGAAAGCTTTAAATGGGAAGGTAACGTATTAAATCTTGTAATAACTTATTAAGAACAAAGAAGAATATGTATAGATTCCATCGAAGTTTGGTGTGGAAATTCTATTTGAAAGAACAGTCCTGCAAGTCTGTCTCATTAAGGTTTTCTCCATTTCTGACCTGGATACTTTAAAAAAGAACATAAACCCATGCAGTAGAATAATGGTTATGCTTACAAAAACCAAACTCAAGGCCATCTATTTGGTTCCGACTCATAATGACCATATAGGACAGAGTAGGGCTTCCAAGCTATAGGGCTTCCAAGGAGTGGCTGGTGGATTCGAACTGTTGACCTTTTGGTTAGCAGTCAAACCCTTAACCACTGTGCCACCAGGGTCCCATGGCCACTTTAGTCCCTATAAAATGCACAAAACAGAAGTGATGAAAAATATAATGCAGATGTGGCTTATATGTCTAATTCTACCTCTAATTTTTTCTAATCTTGGACAGGTCATTGCCCTCAGTTTCCCTAGGTAGATGGGATTGGAGAAAATGATTTCCAAGGTGTTTCTCCCAGTTCCAATTTTCTCTCGTTACTGCAAAGAGAATATTACTTTTAGTGCAGTGTTTTGGAGGTTGATGATCAGAAAAGATGTCAAAGTAGCTTTTACCATTCTGCTCTTCAGAGTTGGCTCTCTCAACTCTGCAAGGCTTAGAATCTCTTATTTTTCTAAGATTGGAGTCTGGGGAAAACTGATTTCTACATCCTTATCACTTATTTGTCTATAAAAACATAGACAGTATTTATATATCAATCCAATAAACATTGAAAAGCTTCCATAGGCCACTTACCATACTAAGCAATGTCTGGAATACAAAAATACCTATCAAAGGGCTAAAGGTCTACCAGTGAAATAAGACAGGTACATAAGTACCTTTGCAAAATTAAGTCAGGTAACTGTCATTAAAAGACATAAACAGTGATGAGAAGTTTCAACAGAAGTGAATGATTAAAAAATCAGAAAATCTTTATGAATGTGAAAAGATAGTATCTAAGAGAAGCCATGAAAATTGGGTAGAATTTCAGTAGACAAAAAATGGAAAAGAAGAAACAGTCTTAGACAGAGGCATAGAATTTGGACAATGCAAAACATGATCGGAGAAGAGCAGAAAGTAGATCGATCTGGTTACAGCATAATGCACACAGGGCTGTTTTACCCATCAGGCCTTGAATCAGTCAGGGTCCCAACAGGACAGATGGCCAAGGGACTGATTACAAAGGTGTGGGTAGAGGGTAGTGGCCTTACATGAGAGAGTACAGTGGAGCTGTTACTGCTTCTGAAGTCAAACGAACAAGGGGCTGGAGAAATAACGAGAAACCTGGAGGAGAGAATTGTGTAGAGCAGGTCTCCTTGAAAGAAGTAGCAACCTTTAGTGGAAGGATACAGCCAGCCCAACGGGACCTCTCAGAGAGGGAGTCAGGAAAATAAATGCCCTAAACTCTGTGCTGTCTCTCTCTCCACCCCTATCAGGGCTCCCCATTGGCCAAACCCAATCATAATCCAGACGGCCCAGGATCCCTAGAAAGAGTTCCATGTAGAACAGCCTCCCAGAGCAGAGAGTAGACTGGAGAAGGATGCGGAGTGGATCCTGAGGGCAAATGGAGAATCACCTGCACAGGTCCTTCAGACACAGAGATGCCCAGGGCACATGAACTTCTCAGGGGCCTACAAAAATGTTTGGCGTCTACTGACTCCAAATATAAAAAGAAAGTGACAAAACAAAAATGAATGAATATTTAAATAAATGTCTATGAAGAAAAACATTATGTCAACTTCACTGATTATTAAATTTAGTATCATAAAAATGTTAGTACTTTGAAAATAATTTGTAAGTTAGATTTTCTCAATTTGAAAACATTCCTGAGTATGCATGGTGATTGTCAAGAGGACATAGTAAATCATAAATTAAATGTTAAAGCCAAATAATTATAATTGAAAATTATTGAAGTTCTTCCCAATTTTTACAGCTAGGTATATTTACAGCTAAATATTTTATAGCTATATATATATATATATATAAATATATATAAATATATTTAACTATACTGTGGTGTACATATGTGCACATATGGATATTTATACTTACTTTAGTACACAGGTTGAGACTTGGAAGATTTTGTGTGTGTGTGTGCAGCAGAATGATGATTATACTTCCAAAAACCAAACCCATTACCGTTGAGTCTATTCCAGCTCATAGCAACCCTATAGGACAGAGTGGAACTGCTTCATACAGTTTCCAAGGCTGTACAAGGTTCTAATCTTTATGGAAGCAAACTGCCACATCTTTCTCCCGCAGAATGGATGGTGGGTTCAAACCACCAGTCTTTTGGTTAGCAGCTGAGCATTTTAATCACTGTGCCACTGGGCTCCTTAATGATTACACTTACAATTTAGGAAAATAAACCTAGTAAGAGTTGAGATTTTATCAATTTGGAAGGGAGATGTAACGAAGACTAGTTAAAAAGCTTTTACAGTCATCCAAATGGGAAGAAATAAGGGCTAGAACTAGGGTGAGAATGGAATGTAGGAAATTCTTCTGCAGGGGACTATGGTGGCTGAATCCAAAGGGCTCAAGAACTGATTGATACAGGGATGAAAGAGAAGAATGAGTCAAGGCCATTTCAAGTTTTCAATATGGAAGACTAGGACAATGCAGTTAGGGAATTCAGGAAGGGAAGCCTACTTAGAGACAAATGTGATGAATTGAGATTTGCACATGATTACTCATTTATTCTAGAAAGATCTGCGGATGACTATTATGTGCAAGAAGGTTTGCTGGGTTTGGGGCTATAGAGGTTAATAATATATAGTCCTAGCTCTCAAAAAGTCTAAACCATTGAAAATAACAATGGTTATGTTATTGCTGTTAGGTACTTTCAAGTCAGTTCTGACTCACAGTGACCTTATGTATAACAGACCGAAACGTTGTCTGGTCATTGCTGTATTTGAGCCCATTGTCTTCATCTTTTTCAATGGCCCTCTACTTTACCAAGCATGATGTCCTTCTCCAGGGATTGATCCCTCCTGATAACATGTCCAAAGTTAAGTGAGATGAAGTCTCACCATTCTGATTTCTAACGGAGCATTCTGGCTGTACTTCTTCCAAGACAGACTTGTTCATTCTTCTGGAAGTCCACAGTATATTCAATATTCTTTGCCAACACCATAATTCAAATGTGTCAATTCTTCTTCAGTCTCTTTTATTCATTGTCCAGCTTTCGCATACATATGAGGTGATTGAAAAGATCATGGTTTGGAAAAGGCACACCTTAGTCTTCAAGGTGACATCTTTGCTTTCAACACTTTAAAGCGATCTTTTGCAGCAGATTTGCCCGATGAAATATGTCATTTGATTTCTTGACTGCTGCTTCCATGGGTGTTGATTGTGGATCCAAGTAGAATGAAATCCTTGACAACTTCAGTCTTTTCTCCATTTATCATGATGTTGCTTATTGGTCCAGTTGTGAGGATTTTTGTTTTCTTTATGTTGAAGTGTAATCCATACTGAAAGCTGTGGTTTTTGATTTTCATCAGTAAGTGATTCAAGTCCTCCTTGCTTTCAGCAAGTAAGGTTGTATCATCTACATATCGCAGGTGATTAATTAGTCTTCCTCCAATCCTGATGCCACATTCTTCTTCATATAGTCCAGCCTCTCCGATTATTTGCTCAGCATATAGATTGAATAAGTATGGTGAAAGGATACAATCCTGATGCACACCTTTTTGAATAAAACCATGCAATATCCCCCTGTTCTGTTCAGACTAGGGCTTTGAACCAGTTCAAATTGTTTCAGTCACTGCCAGTGAAGCAAAATTGGAACAGACTCGAATTTTTAAAATTTGGGTGAGCCGGATGATAACCAGAATGGGAAAAATTACGGCTCAAAGCCCTGGAATGGGAGACTTGGAAGAGGTGTAGTGAGCCTTTTCAGGAACCTGATGCAGGAGATTGGACTACTGGCAGGACAGTGAAGAGCGACACACTTTCAAAGTGGTGAGGTCAGCCGCCATCTTTGAGTCGGGCAGCACTGTTTTTGAGACTGCTGGTCAAGAGATTTGGTTGTTTTACAAGGGAGATTAAGTTTCTAGCAGGTCTTCAACCCGTAATTTTTCCCGTTCTAATTATTGTACTGGTTCACTCACATTTTAAAAATTTGGGTCTCTTCCTGTGTCGCTTCCTCAGCCATGACTGAGGAATAACCAGTTCAAACCCCTGGTTCAAATGACTGCCTCTTTGTCTATGTACAGGTTCAACATAAGCACGATATTGAGTTTAAAATGGTGCTGGAGGGGGCAGAGGAATTCAGGACAAAATTGAGTACAATAGAAATCTGACTTTTCAGTAAAGAATCATTCAATTCAAAATATCTCTTGATATGTAAGTATCTGTTTGGGTCTCTCACCTTCCTCAAGATAGGACTGGAGATGCAAAGACTCTTAAATTCAAAGTCACTCCCTTCTGTCAATACACCAAGGCTATTTCTTTTAATTAGATCAACATAAATATAAAATAGTCAAATCTCAGCTGGCTTTTGGCTGTTTCCCAGTGTCCCATCAAACATATTTGGCACTGGGTCCTGCTACTTAAAAGCAGGGTAGATACATGAAACTAGGGACAAAGTTTTCCTGAAGCTGATCAAGATGACCATGCAGCACAAGCTTTGTCCAGCAAATTTCAACGATTCAGGAACTACTGAGTCACCCGCAAAATTGGAGGATAAGGGTACACACTCAACTGCTGTAAAAGGGAATTTTTGCAGGTAATTTTATATTATTTCTTTATATAAAACAGAGGCCCATCACACTCTTATTCAGAAGAAGCCACAAATGCTTTTGCATAGTTTTTAACACCTTGCTCCTTTGGTAAGAAATACATCAATCAAGTATAAATTGAGAGTCATCTTTGTCTTTTGTATATGCAAGCAATTGCACAGAAGTGAAGTGACCATGTAGATATACCCACAACTGCTGTTTTTCAACATCTGGAGCTGTATTCAACATCAAAAGCTTCTATAAGCAACGAATCACCCCAGTAATTCTTAAGAAACATCAGTAAAACCCCTGGCATCCCTGTCTGTCAGTTCCTAACTGCAAAGAATCCTCTAAATCAACATATTGCTTCACAAGGAAGTATCTATGGGGGGTGGGGGGGACATTGCAATAATCTTGTAGATTCACTTTCCTTGCGTAGGGCCCCACTTGCACCTCTCTTCTTCCCCAGTGAAAACTTACCTCTTATGTAGCTGCTGTAAGGAGCAAGACTTTTAGCTGGCTCTCAGCTGGAAAGGCTTGACTGGGCTGCCCATGCCAAGGTGTTAATAATTGATGTTGGTGTTAGTTGCCCTGGAGTCGATTCCAATTCATGGCGAACCATGTGTGCAGAGCAGAATTGCTCCACAGGGCTTTCAAGGCTGTGAACTTTCAGAAGCAGATCACCAGGCCTGCCTTCCGAAGCAACCTTTTCTGCTAGTAGTTGAGCGCTTAACCATTTGTGCCACCCAGGGATGCTTAATAATTGATGAGATCTCTTTATTGGTTTCCTTTCACCCATTGTACTGTGCCAGGTAGTGGTGATTACATTCCAGCTATAATAAACTCAAAATTTCTTAGGATTATATAATTATATAAATATATACTTAAAAATATATCTATATAATCACATAATAGAAATGTTACATAATTTTCTGTCACAGTGGCTATATCCAGATAATAAATGTATAACCATTGTATAAAGGGACAGTGGCCAATGAGTCACTATCAAACCTGTTGGTATCTCGTGCAACTTACCGGTAAAACCACTGAGTGAAAATCAACTGGCACCAAACATAAACTTGTCTATAGAGAGATAAGATGTATAGAAATGAAAAAATTAGTAAACATAACAACAAATGTGCTAACTCTTAAAAGGTTACTAGAGGTCAGCCACACTGTGTTCATATCTTCGTGTCTTCTCACATTGCCTTTTCCTTGTTCTTTACAACAGGTGCTGGATGGTTCCCCCATTGAAGTGACCCTAGCCAAACCAGTAGACAAGGACAGTTATGTTAGGTACACACGAGGCACAGGTGGAAGGGGCACCACACTGCAAGGAGAGTACACCTACTCTTTGGGCCATGTTTATGATCCCACCACAACGTACCTTGGAGCTCCTGTTTTCTATGCCCCCCAGGCCTATGCAGCAGTCCCCAGCCTTCATTTCCCAGCCTCCAAAGGACACCTCAGCAACAGGGCCATTATCCGGGCCCCTTCTATTAGAGGTAACACCAGTCAGCTCTTGCCCCAAGATTTCAAATGATTTGAATTGCAATGCCTTAAACAAATTTTCTCAGCTGGGAAAAAAGGAGGAAAATTGTTTATTAAAAATCAAATATTATACTGAGAGTTTTCCTTCCATAAGGAATCTTTTTTCACATTACAACTGGTTATTGAAGAAAACTTGGTCAGAACATAGTGCAAATGAGCCTAAAGCATAAATTTGATCTTTGCATGGACCAATAAAATTTGCACAAAAACTCAATTCCAAAATTGTGAGCTTCTCCTTTATCATTGGACAACCATCTTCCAGTCATACACAACTCAGTACAAAACTCCAAAATGAGAGCACTATGGTCTGATGGAAACCAAACATCTTAAATAGCAAAAATATTTCAGGGTACATGTATACCTGATAGGGATTCAATGGCATCACCTTCATGTAGAAACCACAATCATGACTACATCCTAACAGATGTAAGAGATTCTCTTATCTAACCTCCCCCCAGAAATATACTTTGCTTACTAAAAAGCTACCCTATTAAGGAAATCAACTGTTCTCTCCAGGATATGGGAAACTAAATAGTAAACTTCCCATATAGGAGGGAAAAGAAGTCAGTCTTACTGCTAGACAATAAATATTTCCTGTCTGAGTCCTGGAAGAATTCCCTATGTTCAGGCAGTTTAGAGAGCTCAGTTAGCTCAAGGAATATAGACGATAAGAAAAGCATTTTTTATTTCCAAGAAACCATTTTGTCTCCATCTTGTGAACCCCTTCAGGACGTGCTAACACCAACAGAATCCTAGTCCTGGTTTCCAAATATGACACCAATCTGGGCAATTCAGCAAAGAAACTGCGTATTTAAATCTATTCTTGAGTTTTACATAGACTCAAAAGGGCACCTCCAGATTACTGTGGAAACACTTGTCTTAGTGTGTTCTGCTGTTTTTCAGAAAAATTAAATTGACCATCCTAGGAGCTCTACTGTTTGATTCCGACTCATAGCCATCCTGTAAGGACAGAGTATAACTGTCCCATAGGGTTTACCAGGGTATAAATCTTTATGGAAGCAGACTGCCACATCTTTCTCCCATGAAGCAGCTAGTGGGTTCTAACCACTGACCTTTCAGTTAGCAAGTGAGCACGTAACCACTGCACCAGCAGGGCTCCTTTAAAAGTTTCATAATCATATTACAATTACTTTTCCCAAAATTGTAACGATAAAGAAATCATCGAAATTTCCTTCAGGGTAACCTGTCTATATGATAACAGATTATGTCACTAAACCATTATTGATTTATAATTTATAATTTATAACCTAAAATCACATCTTTAAAGCATCCATACATTAAGTATAAGTTGTCAACCGGTTGTAATGTAGAAAAAAAAATAAACTCCATTGCAAGGGGAAAAAAAGGTATCTTTCTTATAACAAGAAAAGAATCAATGAACGATATTCATTAATGGAGGGTAATCAGTCTAATTTTTCTTATCTCTTTATGTCAACAGTAGGAAATCAAATTAGTAATGCGTCAAAACAAAAAACAAAAGGAATCTATGCATGAAACTCAATGGAAATTTAAGCCTTATATTTACAGAACGTAAGAGAGAGAATGATGAACTAAAAAATATGCTTTCTAAGTGTTGGTTTCCCAGTAGATCATTGGGGGTGGGATTATTGGAGAAGCTAAAATTCATTTCTGATTTGCTGGTCAGTGATAGTCTCTATGCAAGGCTGATGTCAATACATGTGGTCATATTGCATTGGGATGTTTTAATAACACCTTTTCAGCATTTATTTAGGCTATAGCAAAACATCAATAAAAGGCTAAGTAAAGACAAAAATTACAAAATTTTTCTCTATACCAAAAAATTTTAGTTGCTCATGTATTTATCAGTAGTTTTGAAGGTATTATTTTCTCCACAGATAGTATTTTAAAAAAAGGAAAAGATACCTCTGGTGAACCCTACTTTATGTTGAGTTTCATTATGTAGAATCCTAGAGTTTTCTACCCATCTTCAGAACAACAATCAATGTGACTGGGGCTAACTTTTCCATTACAGTAAGATTCAGGGTGATTTTCTGGTGGTTTGATTCAGTTTAATCGTTCTTACATTCCTAGAAATTTACATGAATGTACCTGTAGGGGCTGCGGGAGTGAGAGGACTGGGCGGTCGTGGCTATTTGGCATACACAGGCCTGGGTCGTGGATACCAGGTCAAAGGAGACAAGAGAGAAGATAAACTCTATGACCTTTTGCCTGGGATGGAGCTCACCCCAATGAATCCTGTCACTCTAAAACCCCAAGGAATTAAACTTGCTCCCCAGGTATGTAACATATTCCAAAGATAGTTTCTTTAAATTGAGCTAATGGCTATCATTCACCTTTCATCAAATGGCTTTATCTGATCACTACCTGGGCTGTTGGAGGGCAGTGGTGGTTCACTGGTAGAATTCTTGCCTTCCATGTGGGAGACCCGGGTTTGATTCCTGGCCAATGAATATCACGTGCAGCCACCACTCCTTTGTCAGTAAAGGCTTGCATGTTGCAGAATGGGTTTCTGCAGAGCTTCCAGATTAAGACAGACTAGTAAGAAAGGCCTGGGGATACATTTCAAAAATCAGCCAATAAAAACTCTATGGATCACAGTGGTCCTATCCTGTCGTGCATGGGGTCACCTGAGTTGGGTGCTGACTCAGTGGCAGTTAACAACAACTTGGATTTTTTGTTGTTGTTGTTAAGTAGATAAATTAGCCGATCAACATAATGTAATTTGAGGAGATGCTGGCCACTGACTGCCATTTTTCATTATAGAAGTTTTCATTTTTTAAATTATTTTAAAAAAAAGAAAGAAAGAAAGGCTTTATAATGAAAAATGGCATTCACTGGCCAGCATTCCCTCAAATTACGTTACGTTGATTGGTTAATTTATCTATTTAAAGGGAAAAAAAACAAACAACCATCCAAGTTGTTGTTGTTAGCTGCCACTGAGTCAGCCCCCAACTCATGGTGACCCCATGCACGACAAGATAGGACCGTTGTGATCCATAAAGTTTGAAATCTTAAATAATCTACTGAAATGCAAAAACCTGGGAATTTTTAAGAATTAACAACTAATACCTTAAATGAAAATAAAATGAGGCAAAGACTCCAGTTCAGAGTAAATGCCTATTGTTTGTGAACAAAATTACTTGGCACATGAAAGGTATTCATGACAGGAACCCTGAATAGATTATTTAGGACGTCTCTTTTGGAAACACTATGTTTATTTTAAGAAAACTCCACCATAATATGTAGGTGAATGTTGAACTATGAGATGCCATCAGTCATATCAGATTAAGTCTTCTACAATGGTTATATTTGGGCAATGGCATTAAGGTGAATTTTTATTGTTTTCATTTCACAGTTCTAAGTTCCCATGTTTCTGTATTTCATTGCTGGGAATTTAAAAGTTGTAAGAGTTGTTCCAGCATGGAACCTGAATAAGAGGGTTAAAAATAAAACAAAACAGGATCTATGTTAACCCTGTGGCTCCTGTGCTTATGCAGTATATGCTGACCTCTCTGAAATACCCTTTGGCTGAATGATCAATATTAGGCTGTTACAGAGTTACAGTTTACGTACCCTGAAACAAGCTTCCCTACTCCCACCCCCAAAAGTATGAGTCTCAAATTTATGGAAGTGGTCCTTAAGATGCAATCAAGTAGAAAACTTGGTTTTCTAAAAGCTCATTTTGCGTATTTCTCTACGGAATTAATGGCTTTCTCATACCCTAAAACTAGTTCATCTGTCTACTAAGATTTCTGCTAACCCTACCCAGATAATTAAAAAAAAAAAAAAAGCCTACGAAAGCAGTAAATTCAGTAATAATTTGTTCAAAAACATTTTGGGGCATCTATTATGCACAAAGTATTCTACTAAATGCTAGGAATGTAAAAGCAAACATAATATAATCCTTGCCATCAAAAATATCCTATGGCAATCCAGTGGGAAGTACTGACATGCAAACAGATCATTATACTGAAAGATGGTTAAGTGCAAGGGTGGAGCTTTGCTCAGGGAACACAACAGCTAGTTACCCAATCCTTCTTGGGTTAAAACCCAAAATAAAGAACCTAATTAAAGTGCTGGGATACCTAGAAATTTTTTTAGAAAAATTTTTATGAGTATGATATTCTTAAGCAAATAATGTACGCCTTCTACATTTGTTTGCCAACTGTCCCCCTGCCCAGGTATCTTCCTAAGCCGGCTATGCTAATTTTTTTTTTACAGCAACGTGTAAAAAAAAAATTGGCATAGCGGCGCTTATGAAAATACCTCCGGGGGAGGGCGCGGGTGGCAAACAAATGTAGAAGGCACATGTTATTGCGTGGTAATCATAAATTCTGTGTAAGAGCTCTGAGAGCTGTTATAGCATGAGTAAAGATCTCTGCTCTTTGTTTTAAACCAGGGCTATAAATGGGTCATGCTTTATATTAATGTTTATACTGATATGTAATCAGCCATCCCTATAAGCCAGTGAAAGTCCTTGAATTAATTTGTCTCTGAATTTCCACAACTCTTAGAAATTGATGACTATGCCACTCCCAACCAATAGATGGAGCCCTAACAACTACATAGCAGAAACATGACATTCCAACAAGAAGAGCAGAGGGACTGCCCTGACAAGTCAATAGTTAGAGGTGGCATTCCTTTAGCACGTGTTTGCATACCGGGCATACACAGGCAGACAGCCTATCTGCTAGCTAAAACTAATTTACTACTGCCCAAAAACCTTAGAGGATGCTTTGCAGATGATATAAAATTAACAGTATTAAAGGGAAATGTTAATAGAGAAAATAAGTAATTTGCAAAGTTAATAAACTGTAAAATGTCATGTGATTGCAGTTAGATTAGTATTAAAACAAATGAGATAAGAAGGTAAATACAGACACATCCTGAGGCATCGTTCTAGCCCGCGGAGTAATTTTCTCACCCTTATGCCGTTTTGCAGTTTACCGAACTGACTGACTAATGGAAGGATCAGAGCTTGTGGGCCACCAAGAATGATTCAGGATGAGGAAAATATAGGCCATTAGAAAACATTCAGTTTGGAGTAATGACAGAAGGAAAAAAAAATGCAAGAAAGTGCTAAAAATTAGATAATGATAAAAATAGCCAGAAGGGGTATCTTGCCAATCAAATAAAGACTTTGTGAAACTGTCAACACCCATCTATTAATGCTCATCAGTAAATACTAACTCCTCAAACTTATTAACTCTAGTTTTAGGAAAATGCAAGGTTAAAAATATACGAATAAATGACAGGAGAAGAGGAATATATTCCTAGTTTGTCATGTCGGAACAATAATAAACAGAAGGAATTGAGGATAATGATGAATAAATCCAGCCACATTATACTACAGCATCAATTTTTTCTTGATAAAATAAATATATCAAACAGAAATCACAAAATTAAGCTCTAGTTAAAAAGTTACAGCTAATGGACTGAACTAAAAACATATTAGAATAAATGGTGTGAAAATTATTTTTATTATTTAATAGACATAACATCCTCAGTGGAGTTCAGATTGAATTCATCTTAAATTTTACGAATCGTTAAACTATGTGGCATTTTATATCTTTTTACATTAGGTTGAACTCTAAAGACTAGAGTTTTAAAACCCAAAAACTAGAGAAATAATGCAAATGTGACATTTGAATAGGGAATAATTTTTTTTTTAACTCTTGTAGATATTAGAAGAAATTTGTCAGAAAAATAATTGGGGACAACCAGTGTACCAGCTGCACACTGCCATTGGACAAGACCAAAGACAACTATTCTTATACAAAATCACCATTCCTGCTCTGACCAGCCAGAATCCTGCAATGTGCGTAACTCCTCCAAATTCCTAATCATTTAGATTTTAGAGTAAGAGTTGCTTCTAAATTAAGTGTATTTGGTCACTCAGTACTCAAGTAAATATTCAAGTCTACTACCTAGACATTTTTTATTTAAATGCAAACGTTGGGATATGGAGTTGGGATATCTGTGCCACCTATGAGGATGGCATCTAAGGGCCCAAAAATCTCATATAGAGAGTACAGACTGTGAAGGAGGAGTAATTGACCAATAGAAAACTGCAGGTAATGTAAAATGTGAAAGGAATGAAAACTATAGCCTATTTTCTAATCTGGCAGTATTTAGATTGAACCATATGAAGTTACCATTTTCGTATGTAATAAAACCATATCCCATTATATAAATTTTGGACCAAAGGTATGACCTTTTTGTTTGTGGATATCACCTTCTGAATTTTACCCCAAGGCTGCATTTCTATATGTTTCAGAAATGACTGTGCTCCACATACACCTTAGATAAGTCATATAATGAGTTACAAGTATGCCCTGAAACGTTATCAACCGTCAATGTTCTAGGTCAAATCACAAATATACCTACATGCATGTCTATTTAGAAGCTTTAATAGAAAAGAAAATGAAAAATGCCCACACAAAATTCCATCATCCAATTGTCTTAAAGTGCTAGCAGGACCTTAGGTTTTCACCTGACTCAGTAGCACAAGTATAAAATGCCTATCCTGACTGACTATGCTTTTCAGCCACCCTTTCACACCTCCAAAGCTAAGTGCCTATGTGGATGAAGCGAAGACGTATGCAGCCGAGTACACCCTGCAGAACCTGGGTGTCCCCACTGATGGAGCCGAAACTCCAGCTGCTGCTGCTGTTGCTGCTTCCGCCACTGCTTTTCCAGGTATGGAAAAATTTGCCAGAAACGGCACCCTGCAGAGGTGTTTGGGAAATACTCCATTGGTTTCATGGACTCAAAATTGTTTTTGAACTCCACCTACAATAATTCCAACTTGTACCTTCTGTAACCAAAAAGTTTGACAGAGTGAACCATTAAAGAATGAAGCAAGAGAACTGGGCTGGGCAGCAGAAGTGGGTTCTAGTCTCAGCTCAGCTTTAAGCAGCTGTGTGATCTTGGACAAGTCAATGTCTTTGAGTCTGGTTTGTTTCGTTTTTTACTCTAAGTAAGAGAGTCCTGAACAACCTATTCATAGCTGATACTTGAGCTCTTACTGTGTGCTAGGTACCCGACTAAATACGTAGCCAGCTTTACGTTCTCTCAGTAATGCTCATGACGCTACTAAGGGTTAGGCTCTATCATAATGCCCATTGTACAGATGAAGAAACTGAGTACTGGAAAGATTAAGTAACTTACCCAAGGTAAATCAGCTTTTAAGCAATTCTTGGGCTCTCTCCCCAGTTCTAATCTTCGATTCTACTTTTACTACTTTGCTTTGTGAAAGAAATGTGTAGATCACAGTTTTCTTCAATTATTTTAGGTCAAAAATTGTGTGAGAGAAAGAGAGAACAGAGACAGATCTTTTCAATATGTGAATGATTAGGCCCCAATTTATCTGTTCTATAATTTTAGTTTGGGGTATATGCTGATTGCTTGCAATAAAGTCTATCTGTAGATACACATGCCTTCAGGGGTCACATTGAAAAGACTTTTCCCATTTATTAAATACCCACAATAAATGCTAATAACTAAAAATGAATCCACTAGAGAGAAAAAGGGACTGTGTCAGTAAACGCTACAACATATGCAATTTTGCAACAATAGTAAAAGCAACCAAAAAATACGTGTGTGGCTACGTAGGTAAATACGGATGTATATATGTGTATAGGAAGGCATATACAGTAAGTGCATGTGGATGCATAGGTGTATCCATAGGCATATATATGTATGAATATACATGTTTGTGTATACAGCATATATATCCATATATATAACAAACAACATAGGGGGTACAGTTACAGAGCCTTCCTAGACATATCCAAATGACTCATGGGATTGGTTTACTGGGTCAGAAGGCTTGGGACTACAGTCTTGGGGAGAGCTTAGTCAATTGGCATAACAGTTCACAAAGATGATGTTCTACATCTAACTTCGCTGTGTAGCAACTGGGGTCTTAAAAGGTTGTAAGCGGCCATCTAAGATACAACAATTGGTGTCTATACATATGGAACAAAAGAAAATGAAGGAAATCAAAGGCTCAAAGAAGAAACTAGTCCACGGGACTAATAGCCCATACAAACTACAACATCTTCTAACCTGAAACAAGAAGAACTAGATGGTGCCCTGCTACCACTACCAACCGTTCTAACCAGGGACACAACAGAAGGTCCCGGACAGAATGGGAGAAAAATGTAGAACAAAACTCACATTCCTAAAAAAGGCCAAACCTACTGGACTGAGGAGTCCCAGAGACTATCACCCTAAGATACCCTTTGAACTTGGAATTGAAGCTATTTCTGCAGGTCACCTTTCAGCCAAATAATAGATTTGCTTATAAAATAAACAGTATAACCCATGAGTAATATGTTCCTTTAAACAATGAACCAAATGAGACCAGTCAACAGTTACCCAAAAGCAAGGAGGGGAAGGGAAGCTAAATTGATGAAAACAGAACAAACAGAATGGAAATGAGAATGCTGAAACATTGAAAAAATCGTAACCAATAACAACAATTTATATAAAAATTGTAAGAGGGGAACCCAATTTGCTGTGTAAACTTTCACCTAAAACACAATAAAATATTATTTTAAAAAAATGAATCCACTAGAAATTGAAGAGAACTAGGCAAGTAACCTGTTTCAGAAATTTTTTCTCAGCAGTTAGAGTGATTGTATTTTTTTAGTAATATATATTTTTTAAATTTGTCGTTCTGACTTGTCATTGTGTCAGCATGCTGCCCATAAGCCCAAATTAGTGAGGTCTGACTAGACTAGAAATATGACATTTTTATCAATTGATTAATTTGTGTATTGGTTATGTGTATGTGTGAGAACTTCTATATTCCTCACATCCATAAAACCTGAGCTCACACTCATTATCTTTTATTTCTCAAAAGTTGTGAATATATCCTCCATTTCAGCAAATGAGGGTGAAACAGGGCTTCGAACCAATTCGTTCTGGTTCAAACCTCTGCTGAGAATTTGCATTTCCACCCCAGATATACTGAATCAGAATCTATATTTTAACAAGACCCCAGCTAATTCTTATGTATAATAAATTTTGAGAACCACTGCTCTACAAGTGATTCTCAGAACTGGTCTCTAACCAGCAGCATTAGCATCACCTGGGAACGTGTTAGAAGTACAAATTCCCAGCAGGGGTTTGAACTGGAATGAACCAGTTGGAAACCCTAGTGTGAAATTAATCACGCTTCACATGTGAATGTGACCTCAATTCTAGCTATGTTTCACCATAAGAACATGGAAAAGATCTGTGGCGAGTCTTTGCAAAGTTACCAAAAACAGTTGACAATGTGGAGGACAAGGTTCTCCCTCAGCATGGCTAGGACCATCAGCCCCTGTACTTGCTTTCCATATAATAGTGTGTTCACATGTCCGTCCTTTGGGGACTTGCTCAAGGGTTTCTCAGTCTTGGAGAATGTTGACTCTTGATGCAGAAAGCTGCACTCTAAAGAAGCCTAACTAATATATATAAAAATAAGTAAGCCACTGTCAGGAGAATTTTAAAGTTTACTTTCACACTGGAAAGATTTTTATCCTCACTTCTATTTGCTCCTGCAAGAAGTTAAAACTATTTAGGGCAGGAGAGTTGTCTTGGGAATGACTAAGAATTTCAGAGCCACTTTTATAACTTTCCTGTGGAGTCAAGCAAAGGTAATAGGCTCCAAGGGAAGAATCTGTTTGAAACACAAACACCCTTGCACTTGAGAAATTAGCCAAATTGGAAAGAAAATTCAAAATCCCCAAAAATAAAATCTATGATAACACACACACACTCACACTTTCCTTACTTCAGAAATACTGTTTCCAAAAGTATGAAAGTAATTATTAACACATTTCTCATATCTTTAGAAAATGTACCAAACTTCACTAGCACATTAGTCGGCATTACTGCCCCAAGTGAAGAAGCCAAGCAGTGGATTCATTAAAAAAAAAAAAGTGCAGCCAGCTTCCTGTCACCACTTCCTGAGAAGCCACCAGGGAAAAAAAAAAAAAAAAAAAAATCAATGTGTCTAGGGTTGGGCAGACTTCCGCAACATAGAAACCAAAAGGATATTTTTAATCAGGTCTCTGTTCATTGCTTAAGTATACTACTCCCCTTTTCTTGTTGTCTTCACAATTTTTGGACAGTCTCAGAAATATCCAAGTTTCGGTCTAAGACATTCACAGGAAAATAACAGCTTTTAGGTAATAGCTATTCCACTCTCTCCTTCAAGAGTGAATGTTAGTTGAATTGGCAAACACAGTGTGATAGATATATGTACAACAGCAACAAAAAAGAGTAGCTGCTGAGGCTGCTGCTTATTGTACAACCAAACACCTCATGGGATTTGGGTCACTGATTTGAGGATTTAGGGTCATGGTTTCATGGGACATGCAAGTTATGTGGCCTAATAATGTATTTAGTACTTTTGTTCTGCCTCCTAGTTTGTTGCATAGTGCCTGGGGTCTTAAAAGCTTGCAAGCTGCCATCAAAGGCACAACAATTGGTCTCTGTTCACCTGGAGTAACAGAGGAAGAAGGAGAGTCAGGACTAGGAGGAAGATATGGAATGTATGGCTAATTGCCTCCATGAACAACTGCCTCCTTGCCATGAGACCAGAAGAACTAGATGATGGCTGGTTACCATTACTGAACTTTTTGATCAAAGATTCCATAGAAGTATCCTGATCAAAAGAGGGAAAATGCAGAACAGAATTTCAAATTTTTATGAATTATAGACTTTCTGGAGTCATGGAGGGTAGATGAACTCCTAAAACTATTGCTCTAAGATAATCTTAAACCAAAGATATCCCTGAAGTCATCTTAAAACCGAACAATAGTTTAGCTTAACTAATAAAAAAGGTATCCCTTGAGCATTATGTTCTTTTAAGAACTATCTATATGCAATCAAACTGACAACAGCAACTCGAAATATTAGATAGGAACCTCAGAGGGCAGTGAGTTTATGTTAATGAGGGAGGAACAGCTCAGAAAATGAGGATAAGAATAGTTGCACAACTCAAAAAATGTAATCAGTGTCACTAAACTGTATATATAGAAACTCTTGAATTGGTGTATGCTTTGCTGTGTATATTCTCAACAACAACAACAAAATAAAAATTTAGGGGAAAAAAAGAGTGAATGTTAGTTGCACATAATACCAACGTGAGAACACACAGATGATATGTCCCTCAAACCCTTTGGTTCTTGGATGATGAGGACCAGCATCAACACTTCTGAATAAACCAAGGATAGCCTTGACACTGGGGCAAGAGGAAGATGCTTTTGCCATTCATGGATAGATCTATATATGGACAAGTTAGGCATTTGCTTTTATGGTGTCATATATAAACACATTAAAAACTTTACAATATTTTCCCTACTGGTCTACCCAGTCTGTTCACATCCCTCTTGGGGTAAGGCAATGGCTTTTAAAGTTTCGAAAGTTTCATTTAGGCAGTGCAGCCAAACCAGACCCATAATCCCTCCCCCCATTCCCTACCATGCCCTCAATCCCCTACCCTCATTTATAAATTCTGAGACCCTATGAAAAAGTCCTAAACCTCAAACTTTAATGAACTGAGGATCTTGTTAAATTTCTGTTTTTGGACCCCGTCTTAGTTATGTAGTGCTGCTATAAAAGAAGTACCACAAGTGGATGTCTTTAACAAACAGAAATTTATTTTCTCACAGTTTAGGAGGCTATAAGTCTGAATTCAGAGTGCCAGCTCTAGGGGAAGACTTCCTGTCTCTGTTAGCTCTGGAGGAAGGTCCTTGTCTCTGAGCTTCTGCTCCTGGGTGATCTCCATGTGGCTTAGCATTTCTTTTCCCCCATCTCTGCTTCCTAGCTTACTTGTTTATTCTCTTTTATATCTCACGCTACACTACTATACACCCTACACTAATCTTGCCTCGTTAACATAACAAAGGCAACCCATTGCCAAATGGGATTATAACCACAGGCATAGAGGTTAGGATTTACAACACATATTTTAGGGGGACACAATTCAATCTATAACAGACCCCATCCTCAATGTTTCTAATTCTCTGTTTATAAGGTGATTCTAACACAAGTAACCTGACCCACTTTGAGCAACCCTGTCCAAGGACTTTCAAATGCCATTTTAAAAATCACTGAGTCCAGACATTGTTTCCCTGAGAGCACCTTTCAAAACATACATTTTAACTTTTGACTTTAACCAATATGTTAAATTTTCATATTAATCAAAGCAGATAAGTCAAAAGAGAGCCAATCTGAGTCCTTTCATGAAGTTTTTCTCTGCCTCCTTCTCCAGGATATGCTGTGCCTAGCGCAACTGCACCGGTGTCTGCAGCCCAACTCAAGCAAGCAGTGACCCTTGGACAAGACTTAACAGCATACACAGCCTATGAGGTCTACCCTACTTTTGCAGTGACTGCCCGAGGGGATGGATACGGAGCCTTCTGAAGATATCTTTCTTTTAATTTAAGAATAAGACATACAAAACTCTATATGAAAGAAATATCCCTCTAAGTTCGTCCCATATGATCAGAAGTAATGCCTTTCCTGAAGTAATGCCTTTCCTGAGACCATATTGCTTATAGTAATTGCAGAATCATGATATGAGAATATTATTCCTAAATCAAATCAAATGGTTAAGGGCCCTCTTGTCTAACACAGAAAGCTAAAGAGCCATTGCCCCCACAAGGTGTTCTTCCAAGGTTCTTAGGTATCCTGGGCGTATGTTTACAAATCCTGACAGAATGGAGAGAGATCTTTTAGCCAGCAAATGGTTGGGGCTGAGCAGCCCTGGGCAGTCAAAGGGTAGTCAAGTAAATGCCAGTGTCTTAACCCTTGGCTCACAGTGATTTTTGTGATACACAGAGTCACAAAGAAGCAAAGGGAAGGAAGTGTGGATGTATTTCAAAACGTGTTCACCATTGGCCACTCTGTGGGGCCTGGTTGCTAACCTGAGTTCATGAAAGGCTGTCAAAGATTTTATGGATTCAGCATCACTTCAGTCTGAACATTCCATCCAGTCAATTTGTTATAGGTTAGGATCTCCCTGTCCCCTGCAGCCCCTGAGGACTGCCCCTAGAAATTGATGTGTTACAGATATGGTTAAAACAAATCCAGGCCTACTGTTTTATTAAACTCATTAGCCAACACATATTTTCCCCTAGAACTCCCACCCTTCCCAAGGGTCCCCACAACACAGTAATTGTTCTACTTTGAAATGACTTGTTTTCTTTTTAATTTTGACTTGTCCACATTGATTTGTTTTCATCCCAGCCTCATTTTGCTCAGCTCCATTGTCATAAAATATTGTTGTTGTTGGTTGCCATCAAGTCGGCTCTAACTCATGGTGACCTTATGTTAATAGAACAAAGTATTGCCTGGTCCTGTCCATCTTCATGATTGTTGGTATGTCTGAGTCCATTGTAATGGCTACTGTGTCAATCCATCTCACTGAGGGTTTCCTCATTTTCCTTGGTTCTCCACTTTGCCAAACATGGGGGGACAGTAAAAACAAATCTGTAGAATATCATATTTTTTCCTACTCAACAAATTGACTAAAAAGTCATTTCAAACAAAAAGAGAAGCGAACATTCAGTCTTGTTTCTTTGATCTTTTGGCAGTACCCAGAACACCATTCAGCGTGCAGAGGCAGTTATATTAGTTTGGATTTGGCCTTGGACTGTCAGACCCGCTTATATTAAATCTACCATGAAATCTTCTACCTTCCCTTCCTTGTCCTTTAAATAAGTATTAGACAGCTTTGCGATATCTGCATTCTTTTGTCTTGAAGCTGTCACAGAAAGCTTACACCCATTGCTGCTGATACGAAGTCGTTTCTTCAGACATTTAGTAAGAGTGTTATTTACCAAAATCCCCTAGAGTTTTAGGTCTCTTCTCCAGCAATATCTGATAGAGGCTGGGGTACAAACAATGGGCTGGAGGTGAGTAGGAGGCATGACTTTCTTACCATACTTGTGAATGATTGCTTTTTGTTCAAAACAGAAATAATCTCAATTCAGACACCAAATAACTAGTATTACCACTCTAGTCTCATTAGTGGTTCATGGCATACAGTACTAGAATTTCTATTTAAAAAAAAAAAAAAAAAAAAACCCCTTGGCCCTTGTAAAATTCTACAGAACTCAAGGGAAAACAGAAACACATAAGGTACAGAAAAAGTTGTCAAATCCTGAATGGAATTCTGTGATCCAAAATCAGGCTAGATTCCAATATAAATCAGGTAAATTCCAGCAACAACAAAAATTCCCTATAGCTCGTCAGTTCTGTTAACTTCAGTCAGGTATCAAAGACTTGGAAGCTACAGCTGAAACACTGAAAGGCCCTGTGCTTTCACTTTACATTTTGCTTCTCATATTCTATGGGACAGTGATTCCCAAACTTGGCTGCACATCAGAAACACCTGGAGAGCTTTTAAAAATGCCAAGTTTGCACCTCAGGCCAATTACATCAGAATGCCAAGACATTCAGGTGGGAGCCTGGCATCAGAATTTTTTAATGATCCCTAGATGATTCCAATCTGCAGCTAAGTTTGGGAACTGTTATACTCTGTAGATTCACTCTATTCCTTAATTTTTTTCTTTTTTGATTTCACTTTTGTTAGATAGAAAAGTGCAAAAAAAAAAAAAAAAAATTTTTGTTTTCCTCAGTTAAAACAAATAGCCAAGTTGCATTTTTGGATAAATATATCTCATAAAAAGTATGAATTTGAATATAATTCATAATGACTTCAAACTGATTCTTGAGCCAAACTAACTCTAAAAACAAGAAAGTGAAAAATTCTCCCTTAAGCAGTTCTTAGGCCCAAATTAACATTCACCCAGAGACCTGATTTTATGTTTTATGTTCCTTAAATGTCTGAAAATAAATAGAAAATGGGCACCTGCATGTCTAATCAATGCAAAATAGAAGGTTTGATCCAGAGGAGTTTTAAACTTAATCAAAATGAAAAGATAATTAGTTAACAGAGGAATCTTCTTATGAGAACAATTATTCAGGATTAGGTCATTATCACTTTTTAAAAGCATTCAGAACAGAGACCTAAATATATGACAATACCAAAGTGTCAAGAAAATTACCACTAGAATGCCATCTCATTACTTGTTTGTGGAAAATGCAAGTAGTCATGACATTTACCTCCTTAGGACTAATTTTATTCAAGTGGGTAGACCTGGTTGTTTTGTTTTGTTTTGTTTTTAATGAAATTTTACTTTATTCTAGTAATTTCTAGAGAATATTTTGAATTCCATTAGAACATATTCCTAGAAAGTGTCCACAAGTCTACCAAATCATGGGTTTGTATTTACTTTCCTCACCTTAAGTAACATAGAACATGTCCTGCTATGATAAGCTTGAAACAATTAGGAAAAGGAAGTTGTTTTTCTTTTTGTGTGTGTGTGTGTGTGTGTGTGTGTGTGTGTGTGTGTGTGTGTTAATCAAGTCTAGAACCAGAAATTTACTTTGCATGAAGTTTACATTTTTGGCTTTAAGAAATTAGCACCTGCTTAACACCTGCCATATCTTGTTGTTTCACTATCCATTTTTTATGCTACTTGTTACTTTACTGCTTCCTAATACTTCATGGAGCCCTGGTGGCACAGATGAGAGCTCAGGCTGCTTAGCAAAAGGTTGGCAGTTTGAATCCACCAGCCGCTCAGAAACCCTAGGGGCAGTTCTACTCTGTCCTATGGAGTCGCTATGAGTCAGAATCGACTTGACGGCAACAGGATTGTTAATATTTCGTAGAAAAAATTTATTAGTCAACTAACTAGATGATAATAACAAAATGCCCAAACCAGTCATTTAGAAACATCTAGTGGATTAGAACTGGGTTTTTAATTATAGTAATTAATAGCTTATTGAGAATTAAAATCAGTCTAATGTTACTTAGACAGGAGGAAAGGGAACAGCAATGAGATTAGATATCTATTTTCTTCCTTGTAAAAACTCTGCCTCTTCCCAAATTGCTATACTTCTCCCTCACCCCATTACTGTTGCTAGGAGAGCACCTCCATCTGCAACAAAATGTATTTCTCCTAGTGATTATTTTGCCCCTACCCCTTACTCTGTATCATGCCAAACTACATTGGGTTTAGATAACAGCACCCAAAAAGCTGCTAGCAAGCTACCTCATGTTAAGAAAATAGTGGCTTCAAAAAATATCTAACAAAGGAAGACCTATTTCCAAACTACAGTTCCTTAACTTTTTAATGGTAGGGTGGAAATTAAAGTATCGCTTACTTATTGATGATAGTGCTACAGGAAGTTATTTTCAGTTTTCCTTACAGGTTTAAAACTTTTCTTCCAATCATATAGATCAGCTTTTCACAAATATTGCATCCATATAATTTCAAATTTATGTTAATTTTCACTATATCTTAAATGACTCTATTTTATAGTTCAGTCTTGGACAACTGGGCCGAATTTAGAAATCCCTGGGGATTGGGAAATTCTCCAGAATGCCATTTGTAGAATAAGAGCCAATAAAGAGAACTGGTATTTTAGGTAATTTTTCTTTGCATTCAAAGCAAGAAAGTTTGGTGAGGTTTATTATTTGTCGAGAAATTCAGCCCTGTTCAAGATTTCCTAAAACGAATTTACAACTAAAAGTGAGCATTGTACCCAGGTGTTCATATAAAGCTACACTCATTTATCCTCTCCTTGGACCCATACACAAGTTCCCACGTGGGTAAAAACATCCCTAAAAATCAACCTAGTTAGAGACTTGGCACTTTTTATATTTTGTAAATATACTTTTATACATTGTAAATACATTTGTTAAACGAAAAACTCAGTTCAAATATAACACTATACATGAACTTTGTGATAAATACTTTTAAAAGAAAATATTAAAGGCTCAACTTAGTAACTATACTTATTGGAAGGCAGAAAGGAACTAGGAAGCAAATGTTTTTGTCTAACATGCAACAGTTATCAACAGAGAGGACAGTATCCAACTGGGGTTTGTGACCCTGTTAAATTGATTGAAGAATTTGTTTACTTCATTCTAGTAGCACCTTGAAAAGCTCTGAATTTTATAGAATATGTTCATAAAACGTGTGAATGCATCCACCAGGCTATATGTTTCAATTTGCTTTCCCAGTGTTAGAAGAAAGCAAAGTCAGTCCTGCTATGATGAGAAAAAACTATTAGGAAAATTAGATTTTTCTGACCTCCAATCCCTGCCTCTTTACTTACGGAGTAAAACATAAAATTTTTAGTTTTTTGATTAAATAACTAATGGGTACAGAATATTCCATTGCCCCCAAAATGTCCAATGTTTAAAAAGTCAGCTTTCCTTACAATGTTTATACAGGAAGTAGAATGCTTGGGGTTAATATGGATAACAGTGTATATCTTGAACACGGAGATTCATTTATGAGACTGTAAACTTTATGTGCCTCCAGTTCTCCTCAATTCTGCAGGAAAGAGAAAAGAAAACCTTGTACCCTAGCTGAGTGAAGAGTGAAGAGAAATTCGTAACCAATATAGAGGCGAAAAAGAATTCAGAAAC